AACATGCTTGCGTGACTTGCGTAATCTTAGAAAACAAAAAACTCAGCCTCTTGCGCCCTGAGGGAGAAGTTTCTCCCTTACTCCTTATCACTAAGTTGCTTATAATATAAAATCTGATTTCTCTCATATCCCAGCAAGCCACAGGCTCCGATAAGGTAAGGACTACAGAAAGACAAATGGGTTAGAGCAGCAGTACGTGGAGTCAAACAGAAAAGGCCACCTGAGAGAGCTCTGACCTCAAAGAAATGAATCCCATCATTATAAACCCTCTGGGAGTGCCTAGATACATGTGCCAGCTTCGATAACATGGGCAGCTTTCTGGACACAGCTACCTGGGCGTGAAAGAGGTAATGGCAGACCCACACTTCTTTCCTCTTACGGTGTTTCTACTGCGGGGAACTCGGTCAGTGGGAGCCTTCCTATCCAGAAAGGGGGTGACTCATGGGACTGGTGAGACTGGGGGCAAACCTGGGCATCACTGTCCTGCCTGTCCTCTTCTGCTTTGGGCAGAGCTCATCAGAAAGGACATGTCAACTCTGTTTCTCCGTGCCGCCCTCACAGTGGCCACAGCAATGGCAGAGGGCTAGGCTTGGCCAGAGCTGTCCAGGACTGTGCAAGTACGCTTCTGTAACTCCCAGGCACAAGAGTGGGATCCCACCTGCCTACAAACAAAATCGATATTCTCAGCCAGGTGTGGTGGCTCACACCTGTAATCCCAGCATTTGGGGAAGCCAAAGCCGGAGGGATTACTTGGGCCCAGGAGTTTGAGACCAGCCTGGGCAACACAGTAAGACTTCGTCTCTACAAAGTAAAAATAAGAATTAGTTAGGCATGGTGGCACATGCCTATAGTCCCAGCTACTCAGGAAGCTAAGGTAAGAGGATCATTTGAGCCAAGGAGGGCAAGGCAGCAGTGACCCTTGATTGTGCCAATGCACTCCAGCCTGGGTGACAAAGTGAGACTCTGTCTAAAAAAAAAGATCCGCATTCTCCAATATGAGCTTTGTCAGTACCAACAGTTATATTTTCAGCTCCTTTTTCCTTTGCTCTTTTGTCCTATTTTTCAGTTGGTTCAGAACTCGGGGAAAGAAGGGCTCTGTTTAGTGGGCCCTTTTGAATTTCCAACAGTGAGAAAGTTGGCAGAAGCCCAGATTCTTGTTAACTGCCAGATATAGAAACCAGTATCAAGTGTACCAAACTTTATAGACACCAACGGTTTTGTGGCAGGGCCGGGCCAAGCTCCTTTACAGTGTGTGATTCACAGTAACACTCAAGCTCAACACGGCACCTGCCGGTGAGCTGCCCCAAGATCGCTCTGTGAGGGAGGCTGATCTGTGTCACGTATTCATCTTGAAATTAATGGCATTATGTTGGTCCCTAGAGTAGAATTTATCCCCTTAAAAAATTAGCAAAAAAAGCAAGCAATCTTCTTCTTCCAAATCCTAAATCCTATCAGTCCAGTCACTGGACATTGCATCTAAACTATATCTTAATTTCCTTCTTCACACATTGTAAATCTGAACTCTTTAGATATCATAAATCAATTTTATGTATGTATGCCTAGTCAACAACAATATTCCTTTATACTTTCACAATGACCCCTCATCCACTTTTTATCACCTTGTTAGAGAAATCAGCTAGAAATAATAAAAAGGTTTTTGGAGTTTTTATTGCGTGTTCCTAAGCCAATGTCTCAGTAGAAAGAGAACGGTTATCACTAAGCTAAACAGAACTCATCTTCCCTCCCCTGGTTTCCAGTGGTTAGACAGAGTCTGTACTTTGATGCTAATGTAACAGTCGGGTGGTGGGACTGTCTCCTGACAGATGGCATTGGTGACTTCTCGTGGGATACCCCTGCTCCCTTTTAAACTGTGCTTAATAACATGTCATCAGTTTTTTTCTTTCTTCTTTTCTTTTTTTTTTTTTTTTTTTTGAGACCAGGTCTCATTCTGTCAACCAGCCTGGAGAACAGTGGTGTGATCTCCTCTTGCTGCAGCCTTAACCTCCTGAGCTCAAGTGATCCTCCCACCTCAGCCTCCTGAGTAGCTGGGACTACAGGTGCACAGCACCAAGCCAGCTAATTTTTCTATTTTTTGTAGAGATGGGTTTTCCCCATGTTGCCCAGGCTGGTCTTGAACTCCTGGGCTCAAATAATCTGCCCGCCTTGGACTCCCAGAGTGTTGGGATTATAGGCGTGCACCACCATGGCCAGTCAACATCAGTTTTAAATAAGTTGGATACATTGCTCCTCCTGGAGAAGATAGAAATATAAGGACGGCCTGTATATATAAGATATGATGGGATTTTATAAACTGAAAAACTAGAAAACACTAAGTCCTTGATGAATTAACAAGTAAATGGGAAGGAGGAAGAAAGGAGTGCTCCTTCTAGACACATCCCGCCATGCTAATCGCTGTGAAAAAGCCACAGTTTCCGGTAAGCACACACTTAATCCTAACCCTCTGAATGTTAACTGGACATGGACAGAGAGTCAGCCATATTCTCGGGGATGTGGCTTAAAGCCCTTCTTCTGAAGCGCTCCTGAGGAAGTTATTTTTCAAAGACTTGAATATCCAATGGTGACTTTACTGACCTTTTTAAAAATGGCTGATCCTCTAAGATTTTGCTAAAATCACTATGGCCATGTCCCAAAGACTCTGCATCTACTGTCTGTCCACGTGTGTGGAAAAGCTGATAGAGCCAGTCATTCTGAGAATATTCCTGTTACACCGAGAGGAAGTGGTCAAGGTCATCTGCTCTTCAGCACATGACTACATGCTTTCTATGAAGATCTGTAGAAACTGCTGACCCATGAGACTATCCTTGGGTCTTAGCACCAGAAATAACTGTGTGAGGCAGTTGTCTGACCATCCAGTCTTTTAAAAAAACATATTTAAACTTGTTTTTAAATTATATAAGTAACACACCTACTTGGAAAAAGTCTGAAGGGTAGAGAACTTACGCAGCACTGAAATGGTCTATTTCGGGCAATGTGTGGTGGGCTTGCGGGTGCTGGTTTTATTGTCATGGTTCCTAGCCTGCAGATGCAGCACATATGTTGTTTTGGATGCAGGAAATATTACATAATAAAAATTATGTAACTGCTCCCTCCTGCTTTCTAAGCACTGGGAATCATGTAACTGCTCATGTTTCCCTTTTTGTACAGACTGCTAGAAAGCCCAGAGCCAAGTCTGTAGCCTGCTTCTCTGGAGGTACAGCAACTCCCAGCAAACAATTTATACTAACATTAGCCCTTGCTTACTTTTATTTTTCCCACCCTTGCTTTCCCTTAACCGCAATTTCTTTACTTATTTTTATTTTCTACCTTCTTATTTCTTATTTTTTTTAATCATTTCTCATACTTATGTTTTCTCATATTATAACAAACTGCTTCTTCAAATCTACTTGAGAATTAGGTAGGGCATATATTTTCTTTTAAATACTAAAAATAAGGCTTCTGTTTATTAAGACTCTAATATTACATCAACGTGCAAATCCTTATTTAAAAGCTGCGGCTCTGACCCAGAGGGGTGCCTCAGGATCACCCAGGAGTTTCATTCCAAATCTGTACAGCTGGCTTCATAGGGCTTCACCTACCCAGCTTGTGAATGGGGCAGAGGTTGGCGTGGAGTCCTGGCCCATGGGTTCCTGTATTTTGAAGACTTCGAGAGACACTGGTGTCTCCCCTGGTTACGAATGCCTGCCTCAAAACCATGGGCCTCCAGATGTGCCAGCCTAAGGAGGACACAAGATCAACGAGGTCATATTTGGCCTAGGTGATTCAGGTATGCATAACCTGAATCTAATTACAAGGAAATGTCAAACACAAAAGGAGAAATGTTCTATTTTTTTTTAAAGGGAGAAAATTACATTCTTCTAAAATGTCAATGTCATGTAACTCAAAGACTGAGGAAACGTTCAAGATTAAAAGGCTAAGAGCTGTGCCAACTCAATGTGATAACTGACCCTAGATGATCAGAGGACAAGAAATACAATGAAGGACATTATTGACTCAAACTACCAAAATTGGAAGATGGACAGCAGATAAGAAGGCTGCATCAATGTTAAATTTACCGAAGTTGGTAACTTTATAGCTATATGAATGTTCCTTACCTTAAGAAATACACACTGAAGTATTTAGGAGTAAAGGTTGGTAATACATATAATTTATCCTCAAATAGTTCAGAAAACAGATTTTGTGCATATGTGTACATGCCCATGCATGTGTAGAGAGACACAACAAAGAAAGGGGTAAATGCTAACAGCTGGTAAATCTGGGTAGAGGGTATACCAGTGTCCGTTGTTACTTTTGCAATTGCAATTATTTCAAGTAAAAAGTTAAAAAAAAAAAAAAAGCCCCTGCTTTAGACCACACAACCTCCACTACGGCAGTGCTTTTAAAAAAGGAGAATGGGCCAGGCATGGTGGCTCATGCCTATAATCCCAGCACTTTGGGAGGCCAAGGTGGGAGGTCAGGAGATTGAGACCATCCTGGCCAACACAGTGAAACCCAGTCCCTACTAAAACTACAAAAAAAATTAGCTGGGAGTGGTGGCATGCACCTGTAATCCCAGCTACTTGGGAGGCCGAAGCAGGAAAATCACCTGAACCGGGGAGGTGGAGGTTGCAGTGAGCTGAGATTGCGCCACGGCACTCCAGTCCAGGTGACAGAGTGAGACTCAATTGCCAAAAAAAAAAAAAGAGAGACAGAATAAAGTTTCCATCCATTCCTACTGATCCCCAACCCTGGGAGCCCCGCTGAGTGGCTACAACTGGTAGACAGAACACACCTCTCTCCTCACCCTCCCCAGGAGGCCAGCTTTCAGCTGTACCCTCTTCAAAAACAGATTTATTTTCCTTCTACGAGTTTCTAGACTTCAAAAGCCAGCTGAAATGCAGCCTCTTGCATGTTATTTTCTCATGCTATTTTTTAAAGTTACAGTCTTTTTAGATTTGTGGGGGAGAGACCACTGGCACCCTGCCCTGAGTACGGAGCCTCACCGTCCCAGGTCTCGTGAAGTCCACACTGTGCGCCAGGCTCTGTCGCATCTGGTTACTGAACAGGCGGACACAGACGCTCTGGAGGTACTCAGGGGTGATCTGCAAGGAGGACACAAAGACAACTGATGACGACATGAAACTCATTGAGGGGCACCTGAGCCAGGATGGCAATTGTGAGTGGCCTCACAACAGCTTTCTATAAGGCACAATGATGAGGTATATAAGCTAGAAAAATAATCATCTGCTTTAACATCAGAGCTCTTGGGAGGAGTGAAAGCACTGGTCCTAACAGAACAATGTGCTAACACACAACAGGTGTGCTCATGAGACAACAGACTGCAAATTATGTAACTCTACTCCGGGTATCTCCATTGCAGAATAAACAGATCTCAAACCCTTTTGGTAAATTCATGTAATAAAGTCACTGGGTGACTAACGTGGGGGAAAGAGAGCCAGGCTTCAAATCTGAAGGTCAGGGCTCAATTACTGGACTCGAGAAGACCAATAGCTCTGCCTCTGCTTTCCACACCTTTATTGAAACAGCTGCCGTGAGGGGGTAAATGAGGTCACAGATATGCCTAATACATGACAGGTGGCTCGGCCAATGCTTGCTGAGTGAATGATGGAGACACTTTGAATCAACTATCCAGTGCTTGACAACGTGAGGCTGAGCGGCTGTGGCCATCAACGCTGCTGTCTTCTGCATTCTCCTTCAGCATCTCTTGTGCCTCTCTCACGAGCTACGAGAATTCAGGAATGACATATGTCGAGGATGTTGGAATTTTTTTCATCTCATATGTTTTCTGTTTAGAAAAGAAAGAGAGAGATGGTGCCTCTCTCACCAGCTACAAGAGTTCAGGATTGATATACAACATCGAAGGTCTTGGAACTGTTTTCATCTCATATATTTTAAGAAAAAAATATATGCTCATTTCAATGTACAAGTACCATAGCCTCTCCTGAATCCCACCATTCCCCAAAAAACCAATCCCTGCAGGAAACAACTATTAAAAAGAGTACACCCTTCCAAAACTTTTTCTAGGAATGACAGTTGGAAAAGAACCTCTTCTGCAGCTTCTCAGTTCCATCTGGGGGAATTTCCGTGTGGCAGCAGAAGCGGCTGCTCTCCCACCCCTGCTCATCTACTCTCATAGGAGGAAGGCCATCCCCCCAGGCTGTGTGGGAAGCAGGGCTACTCCACCCCTGGGGAGCTGGCAAGGGCTGGGCCCTTTTCTCTCCTCCTGGGCCTCCTGCCTATCTGCTAGAAACTTCTGGTCTGCTTCAGCCACATAAAAGGCTCTGTGGCAGGTGTCTGTCATCCCTTGTTACATAGCTACATGTGAAGCGACCTGGAGAAAAAGGGACCTCGTCCCAGGGCTAGACCTGCTACATTATCCTGAGTCCATTTCTTCTGAATTCCTATAGTAAATTTCTACAGTATTAAAATTTAAACATTCCTTTTTCAGGCCTGGTGTAGTGGCTCATGCCTGTAATCCCAGCATTTTGGGAGGCTGGGGCAGGTGGATCACTTGAGCTCACTTAACATAGTGAAATACCATCTCTAATAAAAATAAAATAAAAATTAGCCAGGCATGATGGCACACACCTGTAGTCCCAGCTACTCAGAAGGCTGAGGTGAGAGCATGGCTTAAGCCTGGGAGGTTGAGGCTGCAGTGAGCTGTGATTGTGCCACTGTACTCCAGCCTGGACAACAGAGTAAGACCCTGTCTCAAGCAAACAGACAAAAAAACATACCTTTTCATCCTGTAATTTTAACCTTTCTTTCTATACTTATTTCTTCCCTATAACTAGAAACACGTTCGCATATATTTCATATTGGAAGCATACCTGCCCCATCTTCTACATCTTTTTTTTTTTTTTTTTGAGCTGGAGTTTTGCTCTTGTTGCCCAGGGTAGAGTGCAATGGCGTTATCTTAGCTCACCACAGCCTCCGCCTCCCGGGTTCAAGTGATTCTCCTGCCTCAGCCTCCTGAGTAGTTGGCTTTACAGGCATGTGCCATGTGCCACTACGCCCAGCTAATTTTGTATTTTTAGTAGAGATGGGGTTTCTCTATGTTGGTCAAGCTGGTCTCGAACTCCCAATCTCAGGTGATCCACCCGCCTTGGCCTCCCAAAGTGCTAGGATTATAGGCGTGAGCCACTGCGCCCAGCCTACCCTAGATCTTACTCTTCTTTTTCACCCTAGATCCTCATCTCTCAACCCCCTCTCAACAGCTTCTCTTTACAGCCAAGGTCCTTGAAAGAACTGCCTGTGTTTGACATCTCAACCCACCTTTACCTTTCAACACAATGTGACCAACTTTCTACCTGTGTTCCTCCATGGAAACTCGTGTGCCAAAGCTCACAACCAATGAACTTCTAAGTGTCAAAACCACTGGATGCTTTTCAGTTATCTTCTTCTGGAGATTTCTGTGGCTTTTGAGATTTTGCATCAAACCCTCAGTCCTGAAACTGTTTGCTCCTTTAACTTCTGAAACTGCCAGCGGAACCATTTCTCTAACAAGCCAATCTCATCATGTCACTTTCTTGCTTAAAACATGAGAATGAGGAAAGAAAACGAATGGCTGAATACATATATATATATATATATATATGGCTATAGCAAAGAACAATACATGAAAATATACTCAGCCTCATACATAAAGAAATCTAAATAGGCCAGGCGTGGTGGCTCATGCCTGTAATCTCAGCAGTCTGGGAGGCCGAGGAGGACAGATCATAAAGTCTCCTGACCAGCCTGATCAACATGGTGAAACCCTGTCTCTACTAAAAATACAAAAATTAGCTGGGCATGGTGGTACGTGCCTGTAGTCCCAGCTACTCGGGAGGCTGAGGGTTCATCTCCCGCTTGAACCTGGGAGATGGGGGTTGCAGTGAGCCGAGATCGTGCCACTGCACTCCAGCCTGGGTAAGAGACCAAGCTCTGTCTCAAAAACAAAAAAGAAATCTAAATTAAAATATGCAGAATGCCAAGTTTTACTTACCAAACTGACAAAGATTTCAAAGTTTACTCCAATTTAGTGCTGCCAGGTGTGGAGACAGCTCCTCTCAGACACTATTGGGGGAGTAGGCATTGTAGGCATTTTAGGACAAATAATCTGGCAACCTCTATCAAAATGCTCATGCCCATACCTTTGCCCTACCAGTTCCCATTTTAGAATTTTATCAGGATGTATACACAAGGATGTTCACTGCAACATTTTTTGTTATAGCAAACAAAACACCAAAAAATTTAAATGTTCATCACCAGAGCTCTGATAACAATTCACCCTTATAACGGAATCATGTACAAGAATTAAAAATAATGAGGTGGATCTAGTCATGTGGAAAGATCTCCAAGTTATATCAAAAGAGATATGGCAAGTTTCAAAAGAGTAATGAATCATATGATCCAACTAAGTGTACGTATGCTGTACGCAGGTGTGTACACATGCACACACACACATGCATACGCTGAGAAATGTTCTAAAATAATACACAAGACAAGGTCAGTCTTTTTTTTTTTTTTTCTAAGATGGGGTTTCACCACGATGGCCAGGCTGGTCTTGAACTCCTGACCTCAGGTGATCCACCCACCTCAGCCTCCCAAAGTGCTAGGATTACAGGCATGAGTCACCGCACCCGGCCCAATGTCAGTCTTGAACATCAATAAATAAATGCATCTACAGCATTGTGGTGAAGGTTGCTCCTTACTGTACTCTTCTCTGAATTGCTTCAATTTTTTACCATGAGCACGCAGTTCTTTTACATTAAAAAGGCTAGTAAAGAGTCCAGCTTCCCTCCTCTAACTCATCTTTTTTTAAATTCAATTATTTATTTATTTTGAGATACAGTTTCACTCTGTCGCCCAGGCTGGAGTGTGGCAGTGTGATCTTGGCTCACTGAAACCTCTGCCAGCTGAGTTCAAAAGAGTCTCCTACCTCAGCCTCCCGAGTAGCTGGGATTACAGGCATGCGCCACCACTCCCAGTGAATTTTTGTATTTTTAGTAGAGATGGGGTTTCACCATGTTGGCCAGGCTGGTCTCAAACTCCTGACCTCAGATGATCTGCCCATCTTGGCCTCCCAAAGTGCTGGGATTACACATGTGAGACACCATGGTCTGCTTAATTTTACTTTTAATTTTTTTCTTTTTTTTTATAGACAGAGGTCTCACCATGTTGCCTAGAGTAGTCTCAAACTTCTGGCCTCAAGTGATCCTCCCGCCTCAGGCTTTCAAAGTGCTGGGATTACATGTGTGAGCCACTGTGCCTGGCCTGAATTATTTTTTATTAATGTAGTATGAACCTACAGTTACTTCAATTTTTAAAAAATCTGTATGTCCACAAATAGATTTTATTGTACTTTATAAAAAGTCAGGAACAAGACAAAGATGCCCATGATAACACTATTCAACAATATCCCATAGGCCATAGCCAATGTAAGATTAACTGTAAAAGCAAAACAAATATTATTGGATAACATGACTGTCAATCTAGAATACAGAAGAATCAATCAAAAAGCCCAAGATTAATAGGATTCAGAAAGGCAGCTGGATAGAAAACTAATAACAGAAAATCAGTGGCTTTCCTATGTGACAGGGCATATCCCCCTCATTTTTTTTGCCACCACATACTTTCCTGTTGCCAATTTATCCTTTGCTAACATTAATAGGATAGAGGCTGGGCGTGATAGCTCACACCTGTTATCCCAGCACTTTGGGAAGCCAAGGCAGGAGAATCACTTGAGCCCAGGTGTTCAAAATCAGCCTGGGCAACAAAGCAAGACTCTGTTTCAATTTTTTGAAAAGTATTTTTTTAAAAAAGGGCCAGGCGCAGCAGCTCATACCTGTAATCCCAGCACTTTGAGAGGCCGAGGCAGGCGGATCACCTGAGGTCAGGAGTTTGAGACCAGCCTGACCAACATGATGGAACCCAGTCTCTACTAAAAATAAAAAATTAGCCGGGTATCATGGCTAATGTAATCCCAGCTACTCAGGAGGCTGAGGCAGGTGAATTGCTTGAAGCTGGGAGGTGGAGGTTGCGGTGAGCGGAGATTGCACCAATGCACTCCAGCCTGAGCAACAAGAGCAAAACCCATCTCAAAAAAAAAAAAAAGAAGAAGAAGGTAGAGAAGTAAAGATATGACAGATAGTGTGTTAAGAAAAATGGATAAAACGCTGCAAGAAGCTTGTTAAAAACAGCACAAAATTTCAGCTTCATCTTCGTGCATATTAGCTTTTGGAAATAGAGCAGCAGGCATCACTGGCTTGGAATGGATAGAGGCAGGCTCCATCTGCCGTATCAACATAGTCCTTGCCCATAAGACCTCTTCATTGCCAAAACAGACATACACACATGGGGATCCTCCTTACCATCTTGCCGCTGACTGTGGCCTCTAGAGAATCCACCAGCTCTGCTGTGACTCCAATGAGATTGTGGTAGTCTGCCTGGATCTTATTGTACCGTTTGAGGTATGTCATTGACCTACGTTCAGCTTCAACCAGCCGCTGGTGGAGCTGATGCAACGTTTCTAGGAAGACAGTCAAACAAACATCAATAAAAACCCACAATATGAAAAATAACTGTCTTCTTCTCAAAGAACTACCATACTTATTGTCCAAATATTTTGTTCTAACAATAAAGTTGACACTATTTGTGTTTCACACTTACTTCTATTTTATGCCACATTTATTTACGTAGTGCTTTGTAACCACTGACTTAAAATTTCTTTTTCGGAAAGTTCAACTCAATCCTCACTGGGTTTCCCAAGAAAATCTATTCCTTTGACTGAACCTCATTTAATTTCTTTCAGTTCTTCTATGTCTAAGAAAATAAATGTTTCTAGGGCGGGCTGTGGTGGCTCACATCTGTAATCCCAACACTTTGGGAGGCCAAGGAGGGCAGATCATTTGAAGCCAGGAGTTGGAGAACAGCCTGGGCAACATGGTAAAACCCCGTTTCTACTTAAAAAAATATAAAAATTTGCCAGGCATGGTGGTGCTCGTCTGTAATCCCAGCTACTCAAGAGGCTGAGGCACAAGAATCGCCTGAACCTGGGAGGCAGTGGTTACAGTGAGTCGAGATTGTGTCACTGGACTCCAGCCTGGGCAACTGGGCAACAGAGTAAGACTCTGTCTCAAAAAAAAAAAAGAAAAGAAAAAGTAAACATTTCATTCTAAATAAACTGAGCTCATAAAATGCCTGAATCAAACCTGTGGTTTTTTCTCTGTTTTTGTACTATGTAGTTGTCTGGGAGACAATTCATATCTGCAGGACAGTTCTTTGTTTTAAACAAAACTTCGGGCTGCTTGACTCATGCTAGGAAAAACAAGAACCCAGAAGGAGAAAAGATTCCATCGTTCTGCCAGTTTGGTAAAGCCTAAGATCACTCCCACCAGGCGTTAGAGCAAGCAGCTTGGAAGGCTCTAGGATTCTCTGCTTGGAATCTCCCGGTGGGCAGCCCTGAAGACACTGAGGCCAAGCCACCCTGGTGGCAGCAGGAACAGGTGAAACCTCACTGGTGTTGGCACTTCTTTGCCCGTACCACCTTCCCTTTCTTGAAGGTCACATTTTGGACAAAAGGAAGTAACACTACTCCAAACTCAGAGTAACTCACTTTTGTCCTGATCCAAGTACTGTATCATATTTAAAGTGTTCAAAATGGACAGGTTTCAAGGATATGAAGAGATATTTTAAAATTATGAAGACCTGGGCTCAAATCCCTACTCTACTATTTTTTTGTTGGGTAACCACAGACAAAATATTTAACTCTGTGATTCTCATTTCTTAACCTATAAAATGGGGATAGTTGTAATTACCTTGATGGGTTACTGTGAAGATTAAATTTAAAAAATACATTTAAAGTGTCTAGCACAATGGCTGGCCCAGAGCAGGTGATCAACAGTGGTGGCTATCTATTACTACTATTATATTTCATGGAGAGGGGAAAGACTTTGTAAATACATTTCTTTACAAGTAGGTAACTTCTGAAAAAGGCAGAAAAGTTCCATCCTAAAGCAGTGGCATGCAAGCTCGGAAAGGTATCAGAATCATCCACAAATATTCAGCAAACTCCCCAAGGGCTCTGATGCACACCACGGGTTTGAGAAAACCTAAGTTATCCATGCTTCCTAATTTTTGTCCTAAAAACCTACATTCAAATTGTATTTCAAACTTTCATGTTTCATTACTGTTTATGTACAGAAGTAAAATATTTTTACTATTAAAACTCAAAATATCAATGATACTGAACCATGTATTATTATTCAACATCCACAAATCTCAGTATTGAAAGATAACTTTAAAAAGTCACTGGTATAGGCCGGGCACAGTGGCTCATACCTGTAATCCCAGCACTTTGGGAGGCCAAGGTGGGTGGATCACCTGAGATAAGGAGTTTGACTCCACCTGGCCAACATAGTGAAACCCCATCTCTACTAAAAATACAAAATTAGTTGGATGTGGTGGTGCATGCTTGTAATCCCAGCTACTTGGGAGGCTGAGGCAGGAGAATCTCTTGAACCTGGGAGGCAGAGGTTGCAGTGAGCCGAGATCGCACCATTGCACTCCAGTCAAGGCAATGAGTACAAATCTCTGTCTAAAAAAGAAAAAAAAATCGCCGGACATGAATTTACATCCAGTACTCGAATACCCTGAAAATGTCACCGAAAATCATTTATCAAGACTCTCCTTAAATATTATTAGGGAAAAGGGGTCACTACCTTCTGAGTCTTAGGATGTGTTAAATTTGTGGTATTATTAAAGTTTTTCAGCTGAGCATGGTGGCTCACACCTGTAATCCCAACACTTGCGGAGTCTGAGGCAGGCAGATCACCTGAGGTCAGGAGTTTCACACCAGCCTGGCCAACATACGGAAACTCCATCTCTATTAAACATACAAAAATTAGTAGGGCATGGTGGTACACTCCTGTAATCCCAGCCACTTGGGAGGCTGAGGCAGGAGAACTGGTTTAACCGAGGAGGAGGAGGTTGCAGTGAGCCAAGATCACGCCACTGTACTCCAGGCTGGGCAACAAAGCCAGACTTCGTCTCAAAACAAACAAAAAATGTTTTTAGGTGAGGTGTGGTGGCTCACACCTATAATCCCAGCACTTCGGGAAGCCAGTGCAGGTGAATCGCTTGAAGCAAGGAGTTCAAGACCAGCTTGGCCAACATGGTGAAACCCCATCTCATACAAAATTAGCTGGACAAAGTGGTATGCGCCTGTAATCCCAGCTACTCGGGCGGCTCAGGCACTAGAATCGCTTGAACCCAGGAGCCAGAGGTTGCACTGAGCCAAGATCACACCTCTGTTCTCCAGCCTGAGCAATAGAGCTGTCTCAAAAAAGTAAATAAATACAAATAAAGTTTTTCATATATATATATCTAGTTCAAAATTAGATAAGCTAAAAACTTCCAGTGTTGAAAATTCCATAGAATACTATTCATAATCCCATGTTGTGGCAGTAAGTATTGAAGAACATCTATGCAAATTTTCTCAACACAGACCAAGTGGTACATGATGAATCAAGTTCCAAAACCCATTAGCTAGGCCCAATGACCTCCCAAATCACCAATGAGAATGTCCCCAAAGCAGTCCCTCTGTAAAGGAGACTGCGCAAAGGAATCCATCCCCCAAGAAGCTCATTCTGCAATTAACTAAACATAAGATTATCTGTGGAATTTTTGCCTTGGGAACTCAGAATGAGAATTTATGACAATTTCAAAGTGTGGCACATCTCAGGGATACAAGGTCTAGCTGCCTTCAGCCTATTGGAATGAGAGAAGGAGGCAATAGGACTGAAATGTTTGTAACCATTTTCAAATACAGTCAGTACTCCATATCCATGGGTACTGCATCTGTGGATTCAACAACCTCAGATTGAAAACATTTGGGGAAAAAAGCACCTGAGCTGAACAGATACAGATATTTTTTCATGTCATTTTCACATCATAAACAAAACAGTATGACAACAATATATACTGCATTAGGTATAGGTACTCTAGAGATGATTTAATGTATATGGGAGGATGTGTGTAGGTTATATGCAAATACCAGCTGGGTGCGGCGGCTCACAACTGTAATCCCAACACTTTGGGAGGCCGAGGTGGGTGGATCACTTGAGGTCAGGAGTTCGAAAGCAGCCTGGCCAACATGGTGAAACCTTGTCTCTACTAAAAATACAAAAATTAGTCAGGTGTGGTGCTGGGCACCTGTAATGCCAGCTACTCAGGAGGCTGAGGCAGGAGAATTGCATGAACCCAGGAGGCGGAGGTTTCGGTGAGCTGAGATTGTGCCATTGCACTCCAGCCTGGGCAACAGAGTGACAGTCCATCTCTAAATAAATAAATAAGGTTATATGCAAAAACCATGCCATTTTATATTAAGGACTTGAGCATCTGTGGATTTTGGTTATCTGTGGGGGTCCTGGAAGCAATCCCTGTAGATACTGAGGGACAACTGTACACTCTTTAGGAGAATAGCCTGCTACCCAGAGACATAACCTTGCAGATATCTTAACTAGCTACAAACAAGACCTGTCCATGACTATAAGCTATTTGGGTGACAGCTCAAACACATCAACTTTATTTCAGAGTATTAAACAGTACTTCCTATTTTCCCTGTCAAAAGTTTTATGGGACAAGAACAACTAAGCCAAGATGCCTTGCCATGCAAGACCTCAACTTCTTTTTTTTTTTTAAGATGGAGTCTGGCTTTGTCACCTAGACTAGTGCAGTGGCATAATCACAGCTCACTGCAACTCCCAGGCTCAAAATTATCCTCCCGTCTCAGCCTCCTGAGTAGCTGAGAGTAGTTCAGGGGTGCATCACCACACTCGGTTAGTTTTTGTAACAATAGGGTCTCACATTGTTGGCCAGGCTGGTCACAAACTCCTGGCCTCAAGCTATCCTCCCACCTCAGCCTCCCACCGTGCTGGGATTACAGGCATGAGCCACCACGCCTAGTAGCAAGACCTCAACTTTTAATGGAGATGTCTTATTAGAACCTTCATATTATTTTAATAAACCATCTTAGTCACGCCAGCGAAATTTATTGAGACTCTTCATATCCAAAACTACTGACATAACAGTGATATAAATCTCCCCCTGCCACTCGAGCTTTCTTTTTTAACCTTTCTACTTCACTTAGGGTGCTGCATTTTCTTTTAAAGGGTACATGAGACTTTAACTGCTGCCTCAAGACAAAACGATCAACTTTTAAATATAGAATTATTTTTCTCACCCACTATAAAAACCTAAAATTAACCACTCTATCGTTATACTCTTTCCTCTTTGGATTCAGATAAAAATTGCCTCTTTGCTATTTCACTAATCAACAGATACTGGATGAAGAAAGTTAAAACATAACTTATGAATATGACTCATTATTTTTAAAAATGCTGTTTAGGGCTCTAAACTCCAGAAAAATGATCAATTGCTCATTTTCTAAAAGGGTTTAATCAATTCATGCTAGAGGCTGGGTGCGGTGGCTCACTCCTGTAATCCCAGCACTTTGGGAGCCCAAGGCAGTCAGATCACGAGGTCAAGAGATCGAGACCATCCTGGCCAACATGATGAAACCCTGTCTCTACTAAAAATATAAAAATTAGCTGGGTGTGGTGGCACACGCCTGTAGTCCCAGTTACTGGGGAGGCTGAGGCAGGAGAATAGCTTGAACCAAGAAGGCAGAGGCTACAGTGAGCGGAGATCGTGCCACTACACTCCAGCCTGGACGAGAGCGAGACTCTATCTAAAAAAAAAAAAAGAAAAATTCATGCTAGAAAAGCCAAAAGATAGTATTTCTATATCCTTTTTAAGTAACTAGGTAAAAACAATAATCCGATGTTACTATAATGTCAGTTTTTATTCTGTGCAATATTTCCAATGTAATTCCTTTTGAGGGAAGTTTCTACTGCAAGCACCTTTTCTGCCTTCTTTAAAAGCTTATGCAATTTCACTTTATCTATGACAAATTCCTATCAAGACACACAGAACAATATCACTCAGCCACTTCATTTAAAGCAACGTGTGAGTCTAGAGTTAAATTAAACTGGGGCACGTCTGTGCCTTTGGTTAATGCAGCCTTAGCTGCAGGATGAGGGGACAAGGGGACCAGGGGGTGACAAATGACTGTCATGCCTGGGCCCAAAATGCTCATCTACAGTCTCCATAGCAACACCGCATTATAGCATTCACTCTGCCACAGATGCACTTTACTTGTTAGACTCAAATCCACAGCCATTCTGCCTGGCTTTCAGAAAACTCTTTAAAATCGATCCTAACGAAGGCTTGAAAACTGGTCTCCTTACTGAAATTCCAACATTAAACACCTGTAGAGAAACACAGCTCTTCTATTTGCATTCCCTTTCCCATGTTTATTTGATCTGCGAAACTGGGCCACTTATCAGATTGACAGTAATGCTCTCAGAAGAAAGCTCTGCTCAAAAACTGCAGTTTACGGTAGCGGGACATGAGCTACAGAAACTCAGGAACCAGAGAGAAGTTTCTCACTACTTCCCCCGCCACTGCCTGGGAGTCCAAAGGCCAGTTCAGAACAGGGACTTGGCCGATTCAACTAACAACTAAGGCAGTTCTCTGGGGCCCAGAGATGCAGGTGTGACGGTGGTTTTAAAATGCCTGCAGTCTTTGACACACCCTCCTTCCCATCAAGAAGGGAAATGTAGGCCAGGCGGGGTGGCTCACACCTATAATCCCAGCACTTTAAGAGACCGAGGGGGGCAGATCATCTGAGGTCGGGAGTTCGAGACCAGCCTGACCAACATGGAGAAACCCCATTTCTACTAAAAATACAAAATTAGCCAGGCGTGGTGGCACATGCCTTTAATCCCAGCTACTCGGGACACTAAGGCCAGGAGAATCGCTTGAACCCAGGAGGCAGAGGTTGCGGTGAGCTGAGATTGCGCCATTGCACTCCAGCCTGGGAAATGAGCAAAACTTTGTCTCAAAAAAAAAAAAAAAAGAAGAGGAATGTAATCTCCTTTCTCTGAAGGTGAGATGACCTTAGGAATTCACTTGCAAGAAACAGAATGCAGCAGAAATGACTGACTTCAGAAGCTGGGTTAGAAAAAGTGACACAGCTTCCCACCTGGCTCTCTCTGGGGACATTCACCCTGGGAACTCAGTCAACATGCCTGGAGGAAGCCCAGGCCACAAGGAAAGGCCACACAACTGTTCTTGTCAAGGGCCTCTGCTGAGACCCCAGGTGACAGCCAGCACCCACCACCACTCTGCGTGTTGAGTTCCTTGGAGCTGCTCCGCCTGACTGCACCATGAGACCTGCTACAGGGGAACAGCTTAACTGAGCCCACAGCTCCCAGACCATGTAGGGTCATCGTCACCATGTTAAGTGAATGTCATTGTTCTGTGCCACCAAGTCGGGATGGTCTGTCAGGCAGCAATGGAACAGTGGACTGAGGCGCATTTCCAGGAGCTGCAGGCCAAGATCCAAAGGCCCCTGTGAAGATGCCGGCTGTGCTGGGGGTGAGCAAACTGGCTTGGGACACACCCTGGCCAAGGCCCAGGCCTAAATGAACACTGAAAACCCATAGTAAAACCCAGAGAACAGGCCTGCAGAGCTGAGGACATGAGCTGGGACTCTTCTTCCACAAACTGTGCTGGGGGCAGGGCAACCTTGGGAAACTCCAAGACTCAGGGTGCTCCTGTGACCCTTGGAGTAGTCTAGGTTGATCCTGTGGGGCCACATCTGTAGCCCTGCTCCTCCATGAAGGGTCAGCAGGGCCTGTCCCCTCTGAATGACAGAAGGGTCAGCATGGCTGGTAGAACCAGTCGCACTCTTAGGACGGCAGAGCTGGGGATACTCAAGGCTACCAAGGGCAAAAACCAGCCTTCAAAGCCTCCTCAAAGGCTGATGCTACCAAAGCCATCTGGAGTGACAAAACCAAACCCAAGCTCTCCCTGATGTTGACAAACCCCACTGTTCATTTGACAACTCCCTGGTGAGCAAAGAGCTAAATAATTTACTGATTAATGCTTCCTTTTTTTTAAAAGGGTAAAAAAACCACACAAGAAAAAGCAAGGGCAGGAAGTTCTGCAATCCTCTGACAGGACTCTGCTTTGAAGGGGCATGGAACAAGATCTCCTGTAGTCACACTCCACCTGCTGGGAACTGAGGGTTATGCTAGCAATACTCACCAAAGGGAAGCAGCTTTCAAAATACAGTATCAAAAGCAAACTTGAGGCACAGTTCCCCAGCTGTGGCCACCAACTTCATATTAATTATAGTTTTCTCACCTTACTCAAAAGTGAATAGTTCTAGTAAAAATGATTGACCATGGACAAATAATAGTTTATGCTACAAACTTAAGACTGGAATTCGGCCGGGCGCAGTGGTTCACATCTATAATTCCAGCACTTTGGGAGGCTGAGGCGCGCAGGAGCTAGAGGCGGGCGGGAGCTCGAGACCAGACTGACCAACATAGTAAAACCCAGTCTCTACTGAAAATACAAAAATTAGCCGGGTGTGATGGTGTGCATTTGTAGTCACAGCTACTCGGGAGGCTGAGACAGGAGAATCGCCTGAACCCGGGAGGCAGAGGTTGCAGTGAGCCGAGATCGCGCCACTGCACTCTGGCCTGAGCAAGTGCACTCTGACAGAGCAAGACTCTGTCACAAAAATTAAAAAAAAAAAAACACAAAAAACTAGAATTCCTACTTTGGAATGGAAAATGCTTGATAAGAATGGGTACACCATATTTCTTGAAGACCCCAGTTGACTAGTTCAAGGTAAAGTTAAATATATTAAAACAATTAAAATAATTCTTTCCTCACCCATGCCACCCTGTGTCTTCTAGGGTACATGTGCTGATGCTGCTGCTGCTGCAGCTCCTTCCCTTTGGGATATTACTTGGATTCTCTTCATTTCTCCGAGGCTTAGCTATCTGATATACGAGGCGAAGCTAACAACGCGAGCCCTCCTGAAAAGGGCCTCAAGGAACTGCAGATCGATATGACTGCAAAGCCCTTCAGAAATATTTAGACTCTTAAAGCCAAAATCATAAATTCTCTCCATCTTTGCACCTATCTTACTACTTAAAACTTGCATTAGCAAAGTTGTTCTTAGACAAATTTAAATCTAGATGATTTACCTTTGTTACTTAGTCCACTCTCCTTCTGGGATGAAAAAGAAGTTCAGGAAAACAGGCATTCCGGGAACAGGACTCGGGGTATCAGACACCCTGCAGCTAATGTGAGAAAGCACCTCAGCATGGTGAAACAGAGGGTTCTCGGAACCTCGAAGGCCAGCTCCAACTGTTGCTATAAATAGCTAAGCAACTTCTCCATATTCGCCTGACTCACTCCCAAATAAGTCCTCTTCTCCCCATCTCAATTAGCACTGTCTGAATTCAAGTCTTGTACTATTTCAACAGCCTCCTAACTGGCCCTTCCAAAGGCCTTCCCAAGACATTCTACTAAAAATGCAAATCTGATTTTATACATACTTCAACTCTAACTTCAGTTCGAAGCTTTATCCTAAGGAAATTGATATTGCGATGAAAACAGCCTATCACAGCACAGTGGCTAAGACCACGAACTCTGGAGCCAGACTGCCTGGGTTCAAATCTCAGTTCCCACATGTCTGGCTACATGACTGAAGGCAGTTACTTAACACGTTTCTTTTCCCTTGTCTTAAACTTTTCCTTAATTTTTTTGTAATAGGTTTATTCACATACTGTATGATTCACTTATTTAAAGTGTGCCTTTCAGGCCGGGCATGGTGGTTCATGCCTAAAATCCCTGCACTTTGGGAGGCTGAGGCAGTTGGATCACCTGTGGTCAAGAGTTTGAGACCAGCCTGGCCAACATGGCAAAACTCTGTCTCTGCTAAAAATGCAAAAATTAGCTAGGTGAGGTAGCAGTTGCCTATAATCTCAGTTACTCAGGAGGCTGAGACAGGAGAATCACTTGAACTTGGGAGGTGGAGGTTGCAGTGAGCCGAGGTGGCGCCATTGCACTCCAGCCTGGGCGACAAGAGCAAAACTCTATCGAGAGAGAGAGAGAGAGAGAGAGAGAGAAACAGAGAGAGAGAACATTTCAATGGTTTTCAGTATATTCAGAGATGTGCAACCATCACTACAATCAATTTTAGAACATTTTCATCATCCTCCAAAAGAAACCCTGTACTCACTGGTAGTGAGTACATTTTCCCTACTCTCCCCAGACTCTGGCAGCCACTAATCTACTTTTCTGTCTCTCCAGATTTGCCTTTTAGACATTTCATGAATACAGTCATCTAATACCTGGTCCCAGTCACTGGCTTCTTTCATTTAGCATAATGCTTTCAAGTATCATTCATGTTACAGCATGAATGATCATTCCTTTTTATAGCTGGATGATATTCCATCATTTGGACAACTCCACAGTTTGTTTATCCATTCAAAAGATGACAGACATTTGGGCTGTTTGCATTTTTTGGCTATTATGAATAACGTTACTATGAACATTCATGTACAGGTTGTTGTGTGGACATACGTGTGTTTTCATTTCTCTTGGGTATACAGCAAGGCCTGCAATTCCTGGGTCATGTGGTCACTCTATGTTTAAGCCTCTGAGGGAACTTCACCTGCTTTTGAAGACTATTTAATGACATGGGAAGATGTTCTCTTCCTTTGATAAAAATACTTAGAAATATACATACACATATATGTACCTATGTTTATTACAAATATTATATACTTTTGGGTGTATGTCTGTATACAAATACATTTCTGTACTTCCCAAATTTTCTATAAGAAACACAGTTGATTTTATAATCAGGAAGCAAAAAATGAGTTTTTTGCAAATACAACTGTTATTCTCCTGCTTAAAATGCTTCAAAGGCTCCTCATTCCTTACAGGACTTGGCATGAACCTTTATAACCTAGGTCCTTCCTAGTCTCTGCCTTTGTCTATGTCAATAACCTGCTCCAGCAGTGTTCTATTCTTTAGCTTCCCACGTACTGTCTCAGTGCCTTTGCACAGGATGTCTCCACTACCTATAATTCCCACCCCTCCTCTGTTTGCCTCACAGACTCCATTTTATTGTTCAAAGCTTCTATTTGGCTAAGAAAATTATCTCTTGGCCTTTTCTTTATATCCCTAAAGCCTAGAAGAATATTTGACTCATAGTAGAAGCGTAATGTATTGAACTAAACTGCAAATATTTTCATGTAACAAGGAAAATATTAGAATGTTATTTATAGTTACCTGCTATATTTCAGCATATGCTTCAGAGCATGTTGAACAGGATGAAAGGTGACAGTGCTTAAAAACTCTAATGCCAATAGCCAAGCACTTACTATATGCTGGACTGTGTTACACAAGTTATATGTATTAACTCGATCTTCATACTCTTCCTATGAAACTATTATTATGAATTTTTTTATTATTTTTTTTTTGAGACAGGGTCTCACTATGTTGCCCAGGCTGGAGTTCAATGGCACCATCACAGCTCACTGCAGCCTCAACTTCCCGGGATCAGGTGATTTGCCCACCTCAGTCTTCCCCAAATAGCTGGGACTACAGTCACATGGATGCTACCATGCTCGTCTAACTTTCTGTACTTTTTGCAGAGACAGGGTTTCACCATGTTGCCCACGCTGGGCTCAAGTGATCCTCCCGCCTAAGCCTCCCAAAGTGCTGAGATTACAGGCATGAGCCATGGGGCCCAGTCAGGTACTGTTTTGAATATACTACTACTAATGTAACTAATATAATTTACCACGTAAATCATTTTATTTAGATTCTTAACATATTGGCACCCACAACTTTTAAGCTGAGCTACTCTGGGCACACTATGGCATAGCCCTGTTCCACATGGAGCAGTATTAAAAAAAAAATTAAGCTGAGAAATACTTTTTTAAAGCATGTTCAAATAATTATAAGCCAAGCGGGAAAGTTCTAATTTCATTGAAAATCACTGCATATGGAACTCTAGGAAGAAAAGGGACTGGATATGCAAACATTGTGGTATGTAGGTGAAGAGAAAAATTTAAACAAAAGCCTTAAGGATATAAAAGCAGAGAGGAGAGCTATAGATCAGTCTGTTTGGCTGAGGCCAAGCTAAGGAATTTAAATCCAGGCAACAGGGAAAGCTTAGGAAGTTCAAGTAGAAACGTGGCATGGAATCCTAGCGACAGAAAACTTCAGTTAGGTCAAGAGAGTCAAATGCTTTGGTGTTAGAAAAGAAGCAGAAGGTATTATGTGGCAAAGCAGCCTAAATTTTTCATGAAATTAAACAATCACCAATTTTATAATTCAAAACATTATGTTCTTGTTATGAAATAACTTTGGATACATTTTTATTCCAAATAAAAGGAGATACATGTCTTTAAAGACTAATAACCTTTGGCCGGGCGCGGTGGCTCAAGCCTGTAATCCCAGCACTTTGGGAGGCCGAGGCAGGTGGATCACGAGGTCAAGAGATCAAGACCATCCTGTTCAACATGGTGAAACCCCGTCTCTACTAAAAATACAAAAAATTAACTGGGCACTGTGGTGCGTGCCTGTAATCCCAGCTACCCAGGAGGCGGAGGCAGGAGAACTGCCTGAACCCAGGAGGCGGAGGTTGCGGTGAGCCGAGATTGCGCCATTGCACTCCAGCCCGAGTAACAAGAGCAAAACTCTGTCTCAAAAAAAAAAAAAGACTAATAACCTTTGGGAAATTAGTCTCACAGGGGTTGGGTGACCTAATGTTCTGCTCTTCCTGAAACAGGCTCTATTTACACCTGTCACCCTGGAACTCTGTCCAGTTAGTGCCCCTTTTTACTCTCAAAAGTGTCCCAGTTTGAAGTGGACTGTGGTGATGCTGTACAGCTCTGTACATTTGCCAAAAGGCATTAAATTGTATACTTACTATGGGTAGATTTTATAGTATGTAAATTAAACCTCAATAAAGTTATTTAAAAAGTAGTCCCAATTTGAATGACAAGTCAGTTGGACACCCAATCCATATGCCATGGCCTGAAGGCCTTGAAAGTGGTTAAGCGACCTTCTAGAAAGGGACAATTATCCCAAGTTCTTTTACAAGAAGACAAACTTTCTCCTCTACCAAGACAGCTTCTTGCCATGTGATATGTAAGTAAGACCTAACAGAAAAGACAATCTCAAGAGATCCAATGATATAGAAGTTATCTCCACAGGACCTGCCACTAATGATTCATTCACCTTGTAAATATGAAAGTCACAGTATTAATTAACCCTATTTAATGAAGCTACCTAAGCCAGTATGCTACTCTAAATAAAATCTGCTCTAAAACCACAGGGGGTCTCTATTTGCTCCAAAAGGATACATATATTGTTAAGAGCTTTGGGGTGTTGCTGGCTTTAAATATTAAAGCTAGAAACTTCTCCAACTTCACCTTTAACTCTGGAGTCCAGGAATCCTAAGGAAAAAAGCAAAGGAACAAAAATGCAAACATTAGATTACTAAGTACCTATAGTGTCATCAAGTTGAGGTCATTAGGCTACAAAACCCTGCACGGTGATTGAAACCAAAAGCAAAATGTCATGTCAGTGATGTGAGGCTGTGAAAAAAAGGTTTTAGGACATCTGACCAATCCATTTATAGAAGATTCAAGTGCTCACAGCAGGAAGAAAAAATAGAGTTCTTTCATAAACAGAGAAAAAATAACCCTGAACATGATTTGAATATTTCATGTGATTTAAACACAATCACGACAAGGAACATTGCTAGCCTGAATCCAAAAATAGTTCAGCACAGTCTAGGTATGCACAGCACTGGGAGGCATAACATAAACAATTCTCACCAAATTACGGAGTTTCCCCAAGAAAGGGACACATTTCCACAAACCTCATCTAGATAAGAAAAAAAGGACAGAAGCTATTTTTTGCCACAAATACCCTACATCATGTCAAGAATTATGATATATTCTTACCTTGATTTGACCTTAAAAAATAAATTATTTATCTCAAATAATGCTCATTAAGAAGAAAAAATTAATGACTTAAATAAAATAAGAAAAAATACAAGTAACAATCTTTGTCTCAGGACAATTTTCCTTGTACCGTTTATACAGAAATATCTTCTATGCAAACCAAGAAGTTCCACAAAAAAGCAGCTAAACCAGTAAAAATTCATATCCACTGTCCTCTTGGCTGCTACTCCATGGCCCACAGACCTTTCCGTCCTTCCCCACTGTCTCTGCCTTCCCAGCTCTGTATCCTCCTCCATGTCTCCCACCCCGACCCAATCATTCTAGCCAGTATGTCATCTGACTTCTGGAAAAAATGCTGCCAGTTGAGCAGAAAGTTCTTTTTTTTTTTTTGAGGCAGAGTCAGTCTTGCATTGTCACCCAGGGTGGAGTGCAGTGGCGCGATCTTCCCTCACTGCAACCTCTGCCTCCAGGTTCAAGCGATTCTCCTGCCTCAGTCTCCTGAGTAGCTGGGATTACAGGAGAGTGCCACCATGCCTGGCTAGTTTTTACATTTTCTGGCAGAGACGTGGTTTCACCATGTTGGCGAGGCTGGTCAAGAAGTCCTGATCTCAAGTGATCCACCTGCCTTGGCCTTCCAAAGTGCTGGGATTACAGGCATGAGCCACTGTGCCCAACCAGAGAGTTCTTACATTTAAAAAAAATTTGTAATTCCCTGATACTGCAGACAACTTTATTTATAAGGTGTGTGTTGTTATGGATTGAACTGTGCTTCCTCAAAATAAATGCTGAAATCCTAACTCCTGGTACCTGAGAACATGAGGTCATTGGGAATGGGTTCATTACAGATGTAATTAAAGATAAGGTCATACTGGAGTAGGGTGGGTCCCTAATCCAATATGACCGGTGTCCTTACAAGAAGAAGAAACTTTAGACACAGACACAGAAGGAAGATGGCCATGTGAAGATGGAGACAGGGACTGGAATGATGCTGCCACAGCCACAGAACACCTGGGGCTACCAGAAACCGGGGGAGGAAAGAAAGGACCCTCCCCTAGGATTCAGGGACAGCATGGCCCTACCAACACCTTGCTTTCAGATTTATAGCCCCCAGAACTGTAAGACAATGAATGTCTGCTGTCTTAAGGCATCAGGCCTGTGGTACTTTGTTAGGGCACCCCTAGGGAAATCACCCTGGGGCTACAACTCCAGGTGGTCTATGCTTGACCACACAGCGGAGGCTCTCGGGACATGGAGACTTCCAGTTAGATTGCTCTGTTGTTGATTACTATTTTGTATAACCAACAAATATGTGCTTTCAATGTAATTACATTATGACGCTCTGCCAATGAAGAGATAAGACTGGAATAAAGCCTCTATGGACACGAGTCACCTATTTTTTTTATTGATCATTCTTTTTTTTTTCTGTGCTTTCAACTCAGAATAAGAACATTTCCACATCTGGTGGGCACCTGAATACACAGCTTCCAAAAAGAAGCATAAGGAGCCAGGAGAAGCACAGTGCTGGCTCTGCTGAATTGTCTGGGAAAAGCCACCCACCCTGTTTATAGCATAGCGTCTTCCCTTGCAGAAGGGAGACTTTAAAGTAGATCAGTGATTGTCTGGCAACAGCAATACCCTTTTTATCATTCACAAATCTTCCTTAGAACCCTAATACATGAAATGCATCAAAGTAGGATTATCCTTGTAGAAGTGGGGGCAGGGCCCAGAGCTCAACTCCCTTTGCTTACCTGTTGCCTCTTCTCTCTTGCAGAGCCAGCAAGAGTCTCTTCCATTTCTTTAAATATTCACGAATTAAGCTTAACTTATGTCCTTGGAACATAATAGGTGCTCAGAAGTTTGTCCTAAAGCAATCAATTATAGGAATACCTATATTTCCGTAAGAAGATGCTCACTGACAAAAACTGAGTGTGCAGAAAAGAGCTCATTACAATCTCTACAAGGGAATTTCCTTTTCTGTCAACACTGTAGAAGAGACCGTCTGAAAAGCAATGAGGCTGGGTATGGTGGCTCACCTCTGGAATCCCAGCACTTTGGGAGGCTGAGGTGGGCAGATTACCTGATGTCACGAGTTTTAGTCCACATGGTGAGATCCTGTCTCTACCAAAAATTCAAAAAGCCAGATGTGGTAGCACATGGCTGTGGTCCCAGCTACCTGGGAGGCTGAGGAAGAAGAATCACTTGAACCCGGGAGGTGAAGGTTGCAGTGAGCCAAGATCATGCCACTGCACTCCAGCCTGGGTGATGGAGTGAAACACTGACTCAAAAAAAAAAAAAAAAAATAGGCAATGAAAACAACTGAGTGGCAAAAAGGAACCGCAGTGGCTAAAGCAGGAACCCCCCAGAGTTAAGAGAGCAAAGGCAGTTTTTGCCCTAAGGATAACTGCAGATTCCTGAAGACCCCAAACTTCAGTTCTAAGAATATAGAGGATGGAAGACAAAAAGATCTGCTCATGGTAGGTAATCTAACAGGGGATTCCACACAAAGCTGAGACACGGAAGGGCTTTCCAACAGTAAAAGGTTAGGGATAAATAAACCCACCATACAGCAGTGGACAGCAAGAAAACATATCTGCCTTGACCATGGCAATAGGTGGAAAAAGGAAAAAACCTCATTTGAGACTTCATAATTACACCTAGTCCCACAAAAGATTGCAGCTGAAATTGACACTATCTGTATGGTCTCCCAAACCTCCAGCAAATAATTTAATTTAAAATCTTCAAATTAGAAAAAAATAGTCCTGGGTTGGTAATGCCCCAGGTGACTGAAGACACAAATGCAAATTTTTTCTTAAGGTATCCAACTATGCCTAGGCCTCAAAAAAAATTCCCTCAGCCCCAAGTAAAATGAACTCACTGCTAAAATGTGAAAGGGGAAGGGGAACTAGCAGGATCAAATATACACAAGACTTCTGTTTTTCAAATTAGCAGAGAACATGAAGTAATTTTTTAATGTATTAAAGAAATAAAATAGAGGAAGGATGAGAGGCTATAAAAATGTCTCAGCAAATCTGAGTAAACAACAAAAAAAGACTTCTATAAAAAAGAGTTGCCGGGCATGGTGGCTCATGTCTGTCATCCCAGCACTTTGGGAGGCTGAGGCAGGAGGATCACCTGAAGTCAGGAGCTCGAGACCAGCCTGGCCAATGTGGTGAAACCCTGTCTCTACTAAAAATACAAAAAAATTAGCTGGGTGTGGTGGCATGCACCTATAGTCCCAGCTACTCGGGAGGCTGAGGCACAAGAATCGCTTGAACCCAGCTGACAGAGGTTTCAGTGAGCCAAGATCAGGCCACTGCACTCCAGCCTGGGCAACAGAGCGAGACTCCATCTCAATTAAAAAAAAAAAAAAAGAGTTAACTGAAGTTACAAATTCAATGAAAAGGTTAAAGAACAAACTAAACATAGCTGGAGGATGAGTATGCGAACTGGAAGACAGATGTGAAGAAATCACCCAGAATACAGCCAGAGATTAAGAGAGGGAAAACAGAAGATGTTAACAGGTATGGGGAGCACAATGACGTGAACCACTCAGCCAAATCCTCAGAAACGGTCAAAATGGTGGCGGTGCATGCCTATAGTCTAGCTACTAGGGAGGCTGAAGTGGGAGCATCACTTGGGCCCAGGAGGTTGAGGCTGCAGTGAGCTATAATCATGTACTCCAGCCTCGGGGACAGAGTGAGATCCCGTCTCTTTAACAACAACAAAAGTAAAAATGGTAAATTTTATGTTATGTGTATTTTCCCACAATTTTTTTAATGAAAAAAAATGATAAGGAGGATATAATAAGTCAAATATACATTTAATCAGATATTTAAGATAATAAAGAGAATGGTAATATATGAAGAGATACAAATTGAGAATTTTCCAGAGTAGTTGAAAGACACAAAACTTCACATCCAGGAAACCCAACAAATCCCAAGTAAAAATAGAAATCTATCCCTAGAAACACTGTAGGGAAGGAAATGATACAATCTCAAAGGCCAGTGAAAAGAGATAGATCACCTACAAAGAAACCGCAATTAGACTGACAGCCAACTTCAAAACAGCAGCAATGCAAGCTAGGAGATGACGCAAGCTAGCTAAGCTTTGTATCTTGAATGTACTAAGAGAAAATAACTGTAAACCTAGTATTCTAAATCCTATCTGAGAAAGCAATAGACACTGCAATCAAGCAAGAACTGAAAGAACAGATCTTCAAGGAAAGGAGATTTTTAAGAAATGTACTTAAATAACAGGAGACAACTATCCCAGATGGAAGGTCCTTAACACACGATGGAATGATGAACAAAATATTGGTAGCTATAAGAGAAACCTACACACGCTGACTGCATAAAATAGCAAAACTTCCTAATCTGTACATTTAAAATATATAACTAAGATACTTGGCAAATAAAAAGCATATAAATTGGGAAGGAGATGAACAAAAGTAATGCATTCTAAGTTCCTTGAATGTTCTGGAAGAAAATAAAGATTAAATTTCGACTTTACAGCTGGGCGCAGTGGCTCACACGTGTAATCCCAGCACCTTGGGAGGACAAGGCAGGCAGATCACCTGAGGTCAGGAGTTTGAGACCAGCCTGGCCAACATGGTGAAACGCCACCTCTACTAAAAATACAAAAATTAGCTGGGCGTAGTGGCACATGCCTATAATCTCAGCTACTCAGGAGACTGAGGCAGGAGAATCGCTTGAACTCGGAAGGCAGACGTTGCAGTGAGCCAAGATCAAGCCACTGTACTCCAGCCCAGGTGACAAGAATGAAACTCCATCTCAAAAAAAAAAAACTGACTTTATTATATACTAAAATATCTGTGATTACCATTAAAAGAACATACGTAGTTAACAAAAGAAAAAAATGGAATAAAATGAATCTCCATGAATACAGAAGGTCATTAAGTTCCTTAAACCAGCAGAATCTGAACTCCATCTTGGACACCAAATCTGAGTGAGGCTGCCAGCTGCAGCCTCTGCCGGGCCCATCCCTGATTCTACCAGCTCTACTGCCACCTGGATCAAAGCTTTGTTCATGCCGCTATGCCAGAATATTCATGAACAGAATACTCAGGAACAGAAGTCTCTGTTCCTGAGAAAACCTACCGTCCCCTTCCAAGATTATTTATTTTTAGACATTTTTTAAGTTAATTTTTAATTCTTTTAAAATTTCTTTTTATTATTTTGTTCATTTTATTCCTCCAAGACATCTGAACCCTTCCAAATTTAATCACCTTCTTAACTGCTTATTTCTTCAACCTTCTGGGAGAGGAAGTAGGCAAAACTAAATCTAGAATGATCAACAAAAAAAAGCAAAACTTTCAACTTGGGCTTCTCTACAAAAAGCCTGCTTTGATGAAAGCAGTCAACTAAGGAACCTTCAGTTTAGCCGCTATATTTAGGAGGGATGAAATCTGTTTTACAGAATTCTAGCTGAATGGGATGCTGAAGTGTACTGGGATTTGGAAGAATTGCATCAGTTGCAGCTGAGTGACAGAGTGACCTGGGAGAACAGAATGAGACTCTGTCTCTCAAAAACAAACGAATGAGTCTGGGCACAGTGGCTCACGTCTGTAATCCCCGCACTTTGGGAGGCTGAGGAGGGTGGATCACCTGAGGTCAGGAGTTTGAGACCAGCCTCACTAACAAAGTGAAACCCCATCTCTACTAAAAATACAAAAATTAGCCAGGTGTGGTGGCAGGTGCCTGTAGTCCCAGCTACTCAGGAGACTGAGACAGGAGAATTGCTTGAACCTGGGATGCAGAGGTTGCAGTGAGCTGAGAATGTGCCACTGCACTCCAGCTTGGGCGATGGAGCAAGACTCTGTCTCAAACAAACAAACAAACAAAACACACGTGTGTTAAAACTCATAGAACTATATATCCTGAAACGTCAATTCTATGTGCGATAATGTAAAATGTTTAAAGCTGCCATTCGAACAGGTAAGAATGCTTGCTTTCTGTAACTCTTTTTTCTTTTTTGAGATAAGGTCTCACTCTTGCCCAGGCTGGAGTGCAGTGGTAATCTTGGTTCACTGCAACCTTACCTCCCTGGTTTGAGCAACTCTTCTACCTCGGCCTAATGAGTAGCTGGAATTACAGGTGTGTGCCACCATGCCTAGCTCATTTTTGTACTTTTAGTAGAGACTGGGGGGGGTCTCGTCATGTTGACCAGGCTGGTCTCGAACTCCTGACCTCAAGTGATCAACCCACCTTGGCCTCCCAGGCGTGAGCCACCATGACCAGCCAACTTTCTGTAACATTTAACACTGGTACACATATGCCTAAAAACTACTTTTGTTTGCTCTGATGTATATATAAAGGGAATCTCACAGCATGTCCTCTCTTGTATCTAGCTTAAGATTACATCAACGTGTGATTTAGTTCATTCATTCTCATTGATGTATAATATTCCATTGTGTGAATATAACACAATGTGGTTATGCATGCTCCTGTGGTATACAATTGGATTGTACTTAGTTTTTGCTATTACTAAGTATTACTGTAACTCTTCCAAATTTAATGTATGTACAAGTTGTTAACCACTGCTAATATAGGATGGCAAAAATCAAACCTAACTAACCATCCAAGGGGAGGATGACTAAACAAAGTACAGCTATAATTAATAATAGTAACATAAGCAAATTTTAGTTTTTCAAAGCATCATTCACAAACCCCCAGCATACAGAAGGTAAAATCAGTGTCGCCTAGGATCAGACACAAGAGTTAAAAGCTGACACTCACCTGGAAGAGTTCTTTAAATGAGGGGTGCACCGTAGGGTTGGGAACAAAAGGAAGAGCATAGAAAGGAAGAAACTCCGTGGTCTGGCTCAAGGCTGCCCCTTTGGTCTCCAGGTAGGTTTTGAAATAAGAAATCTTTTCATCCAGCTCCTCTTTGTCCTGGAAGAAGGAAAACACTGATTTGTGGTCTCCGGTTCAATGCCCAGTCCACCTACTCACCCCATCCTCTCTCCAAGGCTCCTTCTGTCCCAGTCATGTCGCTGGCATCCAGTACCTACTGGAGTCATGGGAATGCAAACAGGTACTTAATTATATCTGAAATAAATATCTGTCTGGCAGGTGCAGTCTCTAGTATTCTACCATCCACCCTAAATTTCCCCCTTAATGAAACTGTCAGGAAGATCAGAGAATTATATATACAGTTCAATATGCTTCTATTTAACTTTATTACTGCCATTTTCTCACATCCTTAAAATTCTTCATAAACATTTTTATTGGCAGGATAAAACCTCATCTTCTCTGTCATATTTATTTAACTAATTTCCCCATTATTAGATATACACATTGCTTCCATTTTTCAGATATAAATAAGCATCTGTTTGCATTCCCATTACTCCAGCAGGCACAGTATCTAAAGGTTAACAGCATTTCTTTACGGTGTTTTGAAACAGAAGCTTCCACATCACTCCTTTCCTTTCTCGTGCTAAGGGCTGGGCTTGCTCTGTATCACCATTCCATGTGTATCCCAGGCAACTCCGTTCCCCTCTCAGAGCTTCTGTCTCCTCTTGGCCCTCAATGAGAAAACTGAGGTGAATTTGGGGCTCTGCTTCCCTGCCCTCCCCCCACAAGCTCTACCAATCACGGCCTTCACAGTCTCCTCCACAGGCTAAGCCTGTTCTTACAATCATGTCTCAGCTGACCTACACCATGAGACCCTCTTTGGACCCCTAGACTCTAAAAACAGATAACGTTTATTGATTTGTATCTTATATCAAAACTGAACATTTTAAAAATAGAAATAAAAATTTTAAAAAAGAAAAATCAAGAACCAAGAAAAAACAGAAATACAAACAGAAAATGAAAATCGCCTGTGATCTTACCTGCAAGAGTAATAACCTGAGGAACGCCTACCAAGAACGGCTACTACAATGTATGGTCTGCTGCTCCCTCCACCACTGTCCCCGCCTTTGGTGTTCTGACATTCTCATGTGTCACACTGGTCCACAGGGCAGGAGTTAACGTGCAGGATCAAATGCCAACTCGCCTCTGCTGCCCTTCTGTCATTTCCTCTGCACTCAAAGCTCAGCCGCCGCAGCAGCTTGACATTCTAGCCCTCTCCATTCTTCCCATCTCCAGCCCCACCTGGGAAAGTACTGCAGATGCTAAATTCAACCTACCATCCAAAGGGACTTTCCAAAAACGGACACTTTTCCACTGCCTAAGTTTAAACGTATGTTCTGGCCAGGGACAGTGGCTCATGTTCTGGCCAGGGACGGCTGGCTGTAATCCCAGCACTTTGGGAGGCCCAGGTGGGAGGATTGTTTGAACCCAAGAGTTCAAGACCATGGGCAACACAGCAAGACCTTGTCTCTAAAATAAATAAGCAAATAAATTTATGTTCTAATATAGGGTCTAATATGCAGCTGAAATATGTGTTCTCTTAGACATACATGTCTACATATTAAGTTGCCAACTAAACTTTATTTTAATGAGTTTTCAAAAACTTGAGGTATTTAAAAAAACAATGTAGCTCTCATTACAGAAATTATTAAATCTCCATAGAAATTAGAAGATCAGCTGCTTGGAATAATGTAGAAAATCACTCACCAGGACAGAAGATGTCTACACCTTGTAAACAATAAGACAACACAGCCACATATGAAATCCACACTCATGTGGAAAATGACAGCAAATGCTGCTCCGTAACACACCACTCAGACCCACCCGTGTCACCAGGTGAACCCACCGGTCTCCCCACAGAGTGCTTCAGAAGATAGATGGCAAAATGGATGTGGAGATAGAATTCCAGCTTCTGGGCAAAGGAGTCCCCATCACGGATGAAACTGGGAATGTGCTCCTCCCACAGATCGAAGAATACCTTCTGGTCTCCGTTGTCAAATGCAGTGACAAGATCCTTCTGTGGAAAAGACATCAGACCACACCTAGTCGTGAGTTTCAAGACCCAAAATTCTCACAACCCACTCAGCACCACAGATCTCCCATATCCTCCTTTTCAGAGGTAAAAATAGAAAAATAGAGATCCCACAGTATTCAAGCTCTGGAGACTGCAATTCCTACAGATCAACCCTGGTTTCCCACCCCTTTGCAGTAATATTTAATCTGAGCACTATAAAGAACACACAAAACATTTAAGATCTTTGTAATAGAAAGAATCAAGCATAGAACAAAGACTTGGAGCCAGAGAACTCATGAACATGTGAATATACTGAAGTCACCCTTTGGACCTGCTGACCCACCACGTGCAACTGACAAAAGCTGGCCGGACCAAGAGTCTAGCCGGGCCTCCCAGTAACAAACCTCACACACACACAAGGTTGCTGACAGCACAGCTCCATATCCTGGAGTGGCCAGGAACCCAAACACACTAACCCAGTCAATCCTGGGCCCAGGAGGTAGTGCTGCCACTTGCCTCGTTGCTAGAAGCACTCCAGGCAGAGATAGAGCTCAAGGAAGCCACCATAGACCCCAATATACCATAAGGTGACTGTCCATGTCTGCCAGCTGCAGCTGCAGCAACAGAGAAGGCTGGAGATGGAGGAAGGAGCACCGGCTCAGTACCGTTTGGCCACAGAGCTGTGTGAGTCTACCTGGGACAGTGGCAGTGTCCTGACTGACCATCCCGTGCACTACCTGCGAGAATTCTGGAGAAAGGAGGTGGCAATTATCAAGCCACCTGTCTCACAAGGAAGATAACTCACCTGTCACAAATAACTGTGGCAGAATTTTGTGGATTTAAGTACAAGGCAGAAGTGAAGGACTTCCTAGCAGTCCAAAACGATGCAGCTGCTACTGTTCTTTTTGTATCAAATGCCTAAGATGTTTGAACGTACATTTTGTGCTCAGTTGCAAAAGTGTTTCTGATATTGGATTTTCTACAGAATCCCCAATTCCCCACCCAAAACCATTGTTATTTACCACCAATATTTGGCCACTGTTCTTTTACACTTTAAAAAATGTGTTTACATGGCGCGGTGTGGTAGCTCACACCTGTAATCCTAGCATTTTGGAAGGTCAAGGTCGGCAGATCATTTGAGCCCAGGAGTTCTAGACAAGCCGGACAATATGGTAAAACCCTGTCTCTACAAAGAGAATACAAAAATTAGCTGGGCATGGTGACACGTGCCTGTAGTCCCAGCTACCTGGGAGGCTAAGATGGGAGGACCATCTGAGCCCCAGGGAGAATAGGTTGCAGTGAGCTGAGATTACGCTACTGCATTCCAGCCTAAGCAATAGAATAAGACCCTTAGAGGAAAAAGAAAGCATTTACAAATAATTTTCCTGCATAATTGCCATTTTTTAAATACTTGTTTGTTTATAAGCAATTTTTCTATTTTCTAGTATTATAAAATAGAAATGTATAAAGAACAAATAATGTAACAGTGTTTGGTTACACTGTCAAAGATGCTGATTAGTAAGAAATCCTCAAATGTGAATATTCCAAAAATGTTCACTATGTCATGTGATCAAGAACTTTGTCTGAATACTGCCTTATGCTGGAAGGTGCTGGTTACATTGGAAGTAAACTCAGAATTTTTCAAATAAGCCCTACAATGAGTATCTACCTCCTCCAGGCTGGCTCTTCTGTTTCTCCTGGACACAAGCAAGGGAGTCTGTTAGCATCTGTGGGTGGGGTTTGCCAAAGCAAAGCACAAGCCGCTGAATACAGCCACCTCTGGGAAGAATTTGGGGAAGCTGGCCAGAGACCCACATGCTTGTGAATGACTGCCACAAAGGTGAAGGGATCCTCCCAGGAGCAGTGCTGTGGGGTCGGGCTCAGCCCCACGCTCGCCTCTACCAAAGCCCCAGGCAAGCCCTGTGACCACTCCTCAGGAGGTCTTGCCACGAGAAGTGGGGTGACCAACAGCTGTCTGTGTGGATGAGGCAATCGCAGACTTTTGAGGTATGTTATGGCTTAGAGAAAAGGTATTTTCTTAATGTGGCCTGGCAGAGTCCACAAGTCAAACGGCCCAACTACAGTTTGTTCTAAAGTCTCTATTTGTAGATGTGAAACCACAAACCTTTGCTATGTCATTATAATCACATCTATCATCTATCCTAACTCATGACTCAGATTCTCTGCCTGGAAATGGTCCCTGAGCTTTAAATAATACCCACACATAAAAGGATCAACTATTACAACTTATAGTCACAAAATATTAGTGATGTTCTATAAACCATGCTCAAACCAGAATCAACAAGATGAGAAAATGTGTACACCATGGACAGTAACTCGTAAACACACGCTTCTTAACCTTCCACAACAATGTAGACATACTTAACACTACTGAACTATACACATAAAACTGCTTGGGGAAACTCACTATATTTTGAGTTCCACTAACAATTAGCATATTTTGCTGAACCTCAGTTCTAGGTATTTTTTTTCTTTTTCTAATTTTTTTCCCCAAACTCTTCTTCATTCAAACCAGGTATTTTTCATTTGAGAAATCTACCTTAGTGGGGGACACAGCTGTTGATTGGATGAGCAGAAAAGACATGCTTGTGACAATCAGAAAGTTTGTCCTGAAGACATCAGAGAAATACAAATCAAAACAATGACAAGATATTGGCCGGGCGTGATGGCTCACACCTGTAATCCAAGCAATTTGGAGGCCAAGGCCTCTTGATCACCTGAGGTCGGGAGTTCAAGACCAGCCTGACCAACATGGTGAAATGTCTTAAAAAAAAATTTAAAAATTAAAAAAAAAACAATGACAAGGTATCACTTCAAACTCATCAAAATGGCTAATATTTTAAAAACACACACAGAGAAACTAACACGTGCTGGCAAGGATGTAGAGAAATTGGAACACTTATGTACTGCTGGTGGGAATGGAAAATGGTACAACCACTTTGTAAAACAGCTTGGCAATTCCTCAAAACATTAAAAGTAGAACTAGGCTGGGCTTGGTGTCTCACGCCTGTAATCCCAGCACTTTGGGAGGCTGAGGTGGGCAGATCATGAGGTCAGGAGATCGAAACCATCCTGGCCAACTCAGTGAAACCCCATCTCTACTAAAATACAAAAAATTAGCCGGGCATGCTGGCCCACGCCTGTAATCCCAGCTACTCAGGAGGCTAAAGCAGGGGACTTGCCTGCCCTCCAGCCTGGGCGACAGTGCAAGACTCCATCTCAAAAAAAAAAAAAAAAAAAAAAGAACTACCATTTGATCCAGCAATACTTCTGGGTATACATCCAAAAGAACAGAAAGCAAGGCCTTAAAGAGAGACTTGCACACCCATGTTCACTACAGCACTATCTTAATAGCCAAGAGGTAGAAGCGACGCAAGTGTCCATCAACAGAAGAACAGATAAACAAGCTGTGGGGTGTGTGTGTGTGTGAATATATATCACCGAATATTATCCAGCCTTTAAAAAGAAAGGAAATCGTGTCATATACTACAACATGAATGAACCCTGACGACATTATGCTGAGTGAAATAAGTCAATTACAGAAAGATAAATACTGCATGATTCCGTTAATATGACATATCTAGAGTATCCGATTCACAGACAGAAAGTAGAATACTGGCTGCCAAGGCCTAGGAGGAGGTGTTAAGCGGGGACAGAGTTTCAGATTTGTAAGATGAAAACTTCTAGAGATCTGTTTCACAACAATGTGAATATACTTAACACCACTAAACTGTACACATAAGAATAGTTAAGATGATACATTTTATGTTATCTTTAATCACAATTTTTAAAAAAGACCTAAAGAGACATTTGAGTGTTCTCAGATGCAACTGGAGCTGAAATGTGATGGCAAACCACATGCAAAAAGTGTACAGCAGCCACCTCTGGAGGGACCTGATATGCAAAGAAGCTTCAAGACACAGGGCCTGTTGGCCTTGCCCTGTATCATCACATAATCTGGTCATGTGTGAACTTCACCGAAGATTCTCACTGTTCTGCTAGTTGGGTATTGAGGATTTGCTCTAATCCTCCCAAATGGTACCTTTAATTAAGAGATGCTCACATATACTTCCAACATGTAGGGTAAAGGTCTTTCTTCATTCAGAAAAAAACAGGGAAACCAGGTGCTGGGGAATGAAGCTGATTTCCTGAGGAACACACTTCACACTAAGAACCTGCTTTCACCTCTAATAATGACTATATTTTTGTATGTTCTGAAAATTTCGCTCCAGGTGTGGGCATGCCAGGGAGGTCTGGCTGCTGTAGCAACCACAAAAAGTCTGTGTCGACATGAAGCAGCAGCAGCTCAGCATCCAGGCGCCTGAGGCCTGAAAGGGAACAGGCAGAGGGTGCAGCCCCACCTTGAGCTCCATGGGCCACTTCAACAGTGCCCCTCTCTGAACAGTGCCCATGCCAGGCCACTCGGGGTAGAGGACCATGAGAAAACCAGTGGTGGCTGCCACCTGAACTCTGGCTACTCAAGGGGCTTGCATGCCAAGCCTCAAATTATTTCTGAAAGTAGGTAAGTTAAAATTTAAAAATCTGTTCGAATAACAAGGCCCCAGGTGCAGTGGCTCATGCCTACAGTCCCAGTGCTTTGGAAGGTTAAGGCAAGAGAATCACTTGAGAATGGGAGTTTGAGACCAGCCTGGAAAACACAGCAAGGCCTTGTCTCTACATAAATCTTTTTTAATTAAAAAAATAATAAATAATAATAAAATCATCCAAAGGTAGAACATGCTATCTCAGGAAATGGTAGTCTGTCTCACTGGAAATATTGTAAGTGAACTGATTATTTTCCTGGTATATTACAAATGAGATTGAGACATCAAATAATGGTTAAATGACTTTCTAATTTTTTTGGAGACAGAGGGTCTCACTCTGTCTCTATGGCTGGAGTGCAGCGGTATGATCATGCTCAACACAGCCTTGATTTCCTGGGCTCCAGCGATATTCTTCTAACTCAGTCACCTGAGTAGCTGGTACTACAGGTGCATGCCACTATGCTTGGCCAATTTTTTACTTTTTATAGAAACAAGGTCTTGGCTGGGCACAGTGGCTCACACCTGTAATCTCAGAACTTTGGGAGGCCAAGGCAGGTGGATCACTTGAGGTCAGGAGTTCGAGTCAAGCCTGGCCAACATTGTGAAATGCAGTCTCTACTAAAGATACAAAAATTAGCCAGGCGCAGTAGCATTTGCCTATAATCCCAGCTACTTTGGAGGCTGAGGCAGGAGAATCACTTGAACCCAGGAGGTGGAGACTGCAGAATGCTGAAATCGCACCACTGCACTCCAGCCTGGGTGACAGAGTGAGACTGCATCTAAAAAAAAAAAAAAAAAAAAATTTGCACAGGCTGGTCTTGAACTCCCGGGCTTATGCGCTCTTCCTGCCTTGGCCTCCCAAAGTGCTGGGATTACAGGAGTCAGCAATCATGCCCAGCCAAAAACTTTTATCTAACCCTAAGACCTGAGGTCCGTATAACCTCTGGGCTCTTGCAGCCCACTGAGATTCACAGAGCTGCTCAGACTTGCTTCTACAGGACCTGCCTTGTCAGTCGCACTCTTGTTCCCTGCTCTCTCCACCAGCCCCCAAGATAGAATGCAAATGCTCTGCAGGCAGGGGTTGGATTTTGTTTGTTCACTGCTGGATTCCCAGTGCCTGGAATTAATAACCTGAAACTCCTCACAGGGAGGCTACAATTGTGTTCCTAAACATCGCATGGTTTCTTCTTTTCCCTCTTCCCAAGAAATGTATGTAAAAGATCCAAAAGAACAGAAATTATATGACCACACATTTCCTAGGGAGGGTACCGAGAACATTTGCACAGTCTAAGGCAACTGAGCAGGTGCTCAGAAGCTATTCCAGCACTCTCCAACGGCAGCATTTTCCACAAGTTGGGAGCATCTTGAATAATCTACGGGTATGAAAAATAAGCAAAATGTTACCTGAATTGTCAATGATTTGGAGTCTCTGAAAGATCCGCCTACTGTTTTACATAATGGTTTTCCTTTTACTTTGCATTCTTTTGAAAATGTTTTCAAGGTGTCTTCAAATTCAGCAAAATCTAAATACTACAAAAAAAAAAATTAAATTCAACAGCAAACAAACCAACAAATAATCCAATTAAAAAACAGGCATGTAATCCTAGCACTTTGGGAGGCCAAGGCGGGTGGATCACAAGGTCAGGAGATCAAGACAAGACCATCCAGGCCAACGTGGTGAAACCCACTCTCTACTAAAAATACAAAAAAAATTAGCTGAGTGTGGTGGCGCACGCCTGTAGTCATAGCTACTTAGGAAGCTGAGGCAGGAGAATTGCTTGAACCCAGGAGGTGGAGATTGCAGTGAGCTGAGATCACGCCACTGCACTATAGCCTGGGTGACAGTGCGAGACTCCATCTCAAAAAAAAAAAAAAAAAAACAGGCAAAGGATCTGAACAGATTTTCTCCAAAGAAGACATTAAAAAGACAACAGATCCAAGAAAAGGTGCTTAATGTCACTGACAACCAGGGAAATGCAAATCAAAACCACAGAGACATCATTACCTCACACCTGTCAGAATGACTATTACAAAAAAGACACAAGATAAAAAGTGTTGGCAAGGATGTGGACAAAAGGAAACACCTGTGCACTGCTGGTGAGATTATAAATTGGTACAGCCATTTTAGAAAACTGTAGGGAGGTTCCTCAAAAAAATAAAAATAGAACTACCATATGACTCAGCAATCTTATTTCTGGGTATATGTAGAAAGGAAATAAAATCAGTATTGCAAAAAGATATCTGCATCTCCATGCTCACTGCAGCATTATTCATAATAGTCAAGATATGGAAACAATCTAAGTGTCTATCAATAGATGAACGGATAAAAAAAAAGTGGTATAGGCCAGGTGGCATGGCTCATGCCTGTAATCCCAACACTTAGGGAGGCTGAGGTAGGAAGATCACTTGAGCCCAGGACTTCAAGACCAGCCTGGGCAACAAAGTGAGATCCCATCTCAAATAAATAAATAATTTTTTTTTAAAGGAAAATGTGGCATATAGGTAGGGTGCAGTGGCTCATGCCTACAATCCAGAAATTTGGGAGGCTGAGGCAGGAGGACTGCTTGAAGCCAAGAGTTCAAGACCAGCCTAGACAACAGAGTGAGATCCTATCTCTACAAAAAATAGTGTCTGCTACCAGGGAGGCTGAGGCAGGCAGCTTGCTTGAGCCCAGGAGTTCAAGGCAACAGTGAACCACGATCACACCACTGCACTCCAGCCTAAATGACAGAACAAGACCTTGTGTCTAAAAAATTTTTTTTTCTTTCAGACGGAGTCTTGCTCTATTGCCAGGCTAAAGTGCAGTGGTGCGATCTCGGCTCACTGCAACCTCCGCCTCCCGGATTCAAGTGATTCTTGTGTTTCAGTCTCCCAAGTAGCTAGGACTACAATCATGTGCCATCATGCCTGGCTTTTTTTTTTGGATTTTAGTAAAGATGGGGTTTCACCATGTTGGCCAGGATGGTCTTGATCTCCTGACCTGGTGATCTGCCTGCCCTGGCCTCCCAAAGTGCTGGGATTTCAGGCATGAGCTACTGCGCCCAACCTAAAAAATTTTTTTAATTTACATTTTTTAAAAAAATAATGTATTCCCCATCACACCACCAAATTTCAAATCTGCACTTCCATGAAGGGTGCCTCATCCTTGCTCCAGGGACATGGCTCTTGCAGCCTGCAGATGGTACACAGTTACAGCGGCAAGCAGCAACCATTTCTTCAGCACTAGAAAGCTCACGGCCTGGGCCCTGCTTGTCAAAGCTTTTAGTGTAGGAAACCTAGGCCATTACCAGACAATGAGCTAAAAAAACTTATGATGTAGCCACTCATTGAAATACTCTACAGCATTCAAATATCTAGGGCAGATCACAGGCAGATGTCCACCCTATATTATTGCTGGCAGATAAAAGGCAAGCTACAGAACAATGTATCATCCTATTCCCTAAAACAAACTACAGACACGTGAATATATTTTTACTATTCATAGAAAAAAGTCTGAGAAGAAAATTTCCTTTTCATACTTTTGTAGTGCCTAAATCTTTTACCATCAACATGTACTGTTTTTATAATTTCCTTTAAAGGGATTTTTAAGTGGCTTTAAGATTTGTTTAGTTATAAAAACACAATATAAATACAAGGAATATTATATAATAGAAAATAGACACGGCTCCAACATAACAACAGAAGAAACACTACAAGGCACTTGTTGCATTTTAAAACAAAAGTTTTCAAGATCTGTTTCTCTGTGACCTCTGTTTTGTATAATATACCTACCTCTTTCACTAGTCCAAGTAATTCAGATTCATGAGCCAGAATGTCCCCCATATTGAACTGCTTCTGGTTTTTAATTCAGCAAAATCTCTAGAAGGCAAAAATACAAGACAAGAGCTTTCATTTCAACCACCTGTGAAATCACAAAAAGGTGGATGCGGTGAGCAGAATAATGGCCCCCAAAGACATCCATGCGCTAATCCCCAGAACCTGTGAATACGTGAGGCTACATGGCAAGGCAGAATTAAGGCGCAGATGGAATTAAGGTTGCTTATCAGCTGACCTTTAAATGGGGAGATGATCCATGGATTATCCAGGAAGTCACTGCGGGGGCGGGGGCAGGCGGAGGGTAACAGACGGGAGCAAGAAGGTCAGTGTCAATGTAACGAGGTATGAGAAAGACTCAACAGCCATTGCAGGCTTTAAAGGGGGCAAAGTGGCTGCATGCGGTTGCTCACACTTGTAATCCCAGCATTTTGGGAGGCCGAGGTAGGTGGATCACAAGGTCAGGAGTTTAAGATCAGCCTGGCCAAGATGGTGAAACCCCGTTTCTACTATAAACACACAAAAAAGTTAGCAGGCCGTGGGAGTGGGCAGCTGTAATCCCAGCTACTCAGGAGGCTTAGGCAGAGAACTGCTTGACCCCGGGAGGCGGAGGTTGCAGTGAGCCAAGATCACACCACTGCATTCCAGCCTGGGTGACAAAGTGAGACTCTATCTCAAAAATAAATAAATAAAGGGAGGGAAGTGCCAAAAGCCAAGGAGGGTAGGTAGCCTCTAGAAGCTGCATAAGGCAAGGAACAGATCCTCCCAGAGCATCCAGAAATGAGGAAGCCCTGCAGATGCCTTGATTTTAGCTCAGTGAGACCCATTTCGGACTTCTGATCTCCAAAACTGTTAAGACAATAAATCTGTGTTGCTTCACACCACTAAGTTTATGGTAATTTGTTCAGCAGCACTAGGAAATACAATGGCTAACGTCAAAAGAAACTCTTCTTACTCTTTCTGCCAGCCCTCCCCCAAGACCTACCCAAAGCAGCCATTCCCCGTGGCCCACACCCCAAGCTCTTAGTCCAAACCAGTTGCCAGTAACTCCAGAAGAGTTAAAAAGTCTGGGTTCTAATACGAACCATGCCATTCACTGGCACCTGATCTGGGGCAAATCACTGAAATGCAAAGCTTTTTTTCATCTATAAAATTCAGAATGTATGAGAACTCTTCTAATTTTTTTTTTTTTTTTTTTTGAGACAGGATCTCACTCTGCTGCCCAGGCTGGAGTGCAATGGTGGGATCATAGCTCACTGTAAGCTGAAACTCCTGGGTTCAAGCAATCCTCCCTCCTCAGCCTCCCCAGTAGCTAGGACTACAGGTACACACCACCATGCCCAGGTAATTTTTTTTTTTTTTTTTTTTTTTTTAGTAGAGACAAGATCTTACTAAATCACCCAAACTCCCAAATAATGCAATCCTCTCACCCCGGCCTCCCAAAGTGCTGGGATTATAGGTGTGATCCACACCCAGTCGGATCTCTTCTGAGTCTGTAACCTGACATTTTTCTGCCAGTGCCTCCCCATCCCCTCTCTCTCCACTTCAACCCGATTTCTACACTTTTAAAGAGTGAGCATTGCCCGACTTCTTGGGACCCTCCTGTGGTTCCTCCACCACCGCCCTCCAGATGAAGGCCAGATTCCTTCGGGCCAACTCCCAAAGCCCTAGACAACTTGGCCTCTGACACACTCCCATTTGTTCTGTAATGGGAGAACATTATGTCCACTGGCCACTCTGTAGCTCCTGTGGACACCCACTGAACACCCAAAGCACACGCCTGCCCTTGTGAGCTCTGGCTCACTGCCCTTCCTTCAGATACTCACATCTCATTCAGGTCTCTGCTTCACCATCACCTCCTCAGAGCGTCTTGCCCTGACCACCCTTTCTAAGAGGCCATCACTTCTCAGCGCTTTGTGCTGTTCATTTTTTCTCAACAGCACCAACCACTACCTGACAGGTGTACCCCTGGCATCCCCAGTGCCTAGACCAGTGCCTGGCACACAGCATGTGCTCAAAAACACTGATGGAGTTAACTAAGTCCAGACAGGAAGAAAACAGCGCAAGGAAAGGGACACAACCTGGAGGAGACAGGCATGGGGTTATTTTAGAGTGGTTGACGGCCGCACTGGGACTGTGACATTTCAGCGAAGATTGAGCACTTGGATCTGGGGTTTGGCTAATGCACAGGCCTCAGGCTGAAGAGCTCCGCAGTAGTGGAGTACTGGGATGTAGCTAGAGGTGAGTGACGCAGTGAGCAGCAGGCAACAGGGGGCCGAGGCCAGGTCAGGTGGGCCTTGCAGAGCTGGGAAGCGGCTTGAACATTAGGCCAAGTAACAGGAGGCTCAGAGAGCATATGGAGGAGGGGACTGACACCACCTGATATCCCTTTTTTTTTTATCATGAGACAGTGTCGCCCTCTGTTGCCCAGGTTAAATTGCAGTGGCATGATCATAGCTTACTGCAGCCTTAAACTCCTGGGCTCAAGCAACCCTCCCACCTCAGCCTCCTGAGTAGCTGGGCCTACAGAAGTGTGCTATTATTCCCCACTAATTTGTTTTGTGGTTTTTTTCATTTGTTTGTTTTTTGGTGGGTTTGTTTTATTTAGAGACAGGGTTTCACCATTACCCAGGCTGGTCTTGAACTCCTGGGCTCAATCCTCCCTCCTCTGCCTCCCAAAAAAAAAAGTGCTGGGATGACAGGGGTGAGCCACTGATGTCCGCCCAGCCACTTATGTCCAATTTTTTTTTTTTTTTTGAGATGGGAGATGCTCTGTTGCCCAGACTAGAGTGCAGTGACGTGATCTTGGCTTATTGCAACCTCCACCTCCCTGGTTCAAACAATTCTGCCTCAACAACCTGAGTAGCTGAGACTACAGGCATGCACAACTATGCCCAGCTAATTTTTGTATTTTTAGCAGAGACAGAAGTTCACTACATTGGCCAGGATAGTCTTGACCTCTTAATCACATGATTCGTCCACCTCGGCCTCCCAGAGGGCTGGGATTACAGATGTGAGCCACTGCACCCCGCCTGATGTCCATTTTTTAACAAGCAGGTAGCCTGCTCTACAGAGAAGACTGGCAGGGAGTGGGGAGGGAGATGAGTATTGCTCAGGCCATGTCAGCCATGAGCCGCATTTGGACAAGCGAGAGGGGCCATGAGTGTTGTGAGTCCAGATGGAAAAGGCAGAAGAGGCACAATCAGCAGACAGGTTGGCTGTGGGACGTGAGGGGAAGAAGGGAAGGAAGAACCCTGGGGTCTGAGCAGCTGGTTGAATAGTATGCCATTTGCTGAGTCGATGAAAATCTGAGGGAGGACTGTTCTGAGGTCAAACCAAGAGCTCTGCTTTGGCTGTAAGTCTGAGCTGCCTATTAGACATTCCAGTGGAGGTTCTGAAATGGTCAGTAGATATTGTAAGAATTAAAGAAAGACGTGAGAAAAACAAACGGTGGCTCAACAGTCAACAGGTTTATTTCACATCTGGGAGGGACTTTCAACCAAGTTAGGTCAGAAGCTGTATTCTCTTACAGACTAAGAGTTTTTAAGGATTGGCCGGGCATGGTGGCTCACGCCTGTAATTCCAACACTTTGGGAGGCTGAGGTGAGTGGATCACATGAGGTTGGGAGTTCAAGACCAGCCTGACCAACATGAAGAATCCCATCTCTACTAAAAATACAAAATTAGCCAGGCTTGGTGGCACATGTCTGTAATCCCTGCTACTCGGGAGGCTGAGGCAGAGGTTGCAGTGAGCCAAGATCACGCCATTGCACTCCAGCCTGGGCAACAAGAGCGAAATTCCATCTTTAAAAAATAAAGGTTTTAAGAATTTAGGGTGGGAGAGTTTATCAGAGGCTTGGGCTGCTTCTGTGTCTCTTTGTTGTGCGTATCTGGGAGGGAGAGCTGTGTGCCTGTTCCCATTTATCTTTCTGCAGCTGCAGGCATACTCCCCGAGTCTGCTTTTAGCTTCCCTATCTTAGTGTACCTGAAGGGAAAGGAATGTTCTTACTAAGGCCCACTGTTTTACTGGGGCCTGTTGTTTGAGGGTGAAGTTTGGCAGTTACCCAAGAAATAAATCTGTTGACTGTTGAACCACCATTTCTGTTTCTCTTCTCTTTCTTTAATTCTTACAGATATATGAGCCTGGAGTTTAAGGGAGAAGCAGGAACACCATACAGAGGGATGGCAGAGAATATGGGTGCTGAGCAAAGACGCAGATTTAGTGATGAGAAGTGAAACAGGCTAGGTGCAGTGGTTTACACTTGTAATCCTAGCACTTGGGGACACCGAGGCAGGCAGATCACTTGAGCTCATGAGTTTGAGACCAGCCTAGGCAATATGCTGAAACCCCATCTCTATAAGAAATTTAAAAATTAGCCAGGCATGGTGGCGCATGCCTGTAATCCCAGCTGCCTGCGACAGCCAGCATACTGCTGGAAGCTCCAAGGGAACTGGGGAGACTTGCTCTGGGAAGTGGCTGCCTCAGGGAGGGCTGGCAATGGATACAACACCTGCCGTGTACTTCAAAGTAGCTGGGGTGTGTGAAGGAGCGGGTAGTGATCTGGAAGCAGCAACGAGGAACAGGGAGGAAACTCCCCATGCACCATCCCAGGCCTGCCAGATGCATAAGGGGAGAGAAGAAAGGCAGCTGCTGTTTGAGGACACCCACCTCTCCAGCCTTTTTCTGGACCCATGCCTCGAATCCATCCACCTTCCCCCCACCTTATCCTTCTCCTTGCTGCCTTACACCAACTCCCCACACTGGACCCTGCTAGCAGCAAAATCCTGGCCATTCCAACAAGCTCTTTCACGATCCTAAGCCTGTGGTTGACATATGCCCTGTCCCCCACGAACACATGACTCATCATTCTAAGTGAGGCCAGACTTAACCTCCTTCAAGAAGTCTTCTATGAACCACCCTCCTTTCTTCCCTACCAAGGCTTTTTTCTTTTTTTTTTTTTTTTTTTGAGATGGAGTTTAGCTCTCTTGTCCAGGCTGAAGTGCAATAGTGAGATCTCAGCTCACTGCAACCTCCACCTCCTAGGTTCAAATGATTCTCCCGCCTTAGCCTTCCAAGTAGCTGGGATTGCAGGCATGTGCCATCACGTCTGGCTAATTTTTGTATTATTTTTAAAATTCTGTATTATTTTATTAGAGACAGGGTTTCACCACATTGGTCAGGCTGGTCTTGAACTCCTAACCTCAGATGATCTGCCCACCCAAAGTGCTACTACAGGTGTGAGCCACTGCACCTGGCATGCCTTTTTTTTTTTGAAATAGAGTCTCGCTCTGTCACCAGGTTGGAGTGCAGTGGCACGATCTCAGCTCATTGCAACATGCGCCTCCAGGTTTAAGTGATTCTCCTGCCTCAGCCTCTGAAGTAGCTGGGACTACAGGCACGCGCTACCATGCCTGGCTAATTTTTGTATTTTTAGCAGAGACGGGATTTCACCCTGTTGGCCAGGATGGTCTCAATCTCTTGACTTCGTGATCCGCCCGCCTCGGCCTCCCAAAGTGCTGGGATTACAGGCATGAGTCATCATGCCCAGCCTAGTTCGTCTTATAACGCTGTTCACAAAGACAGGGAGCTGTATTTAAGTTTCATATCCCCAGAACCTAACAGAGTGTCTCATAAGCAAGATAGGCACCCGAGACATGATGAACAAACAAAGTCCAAGCTGAGGATGGCATTTTAAAGGCCCTGGAACAAGAAAAGTGAGTTTTTGTGAATTTGAGCTGCTTCCAACCTCAAGGCCTTTGCACATATTACTCTCTCCGACTAGAACACTTTTCCCTTTCTTCACCTGGTTAGCCACTGTGCCTAATAAACATCACCTCCTTAGAGTAACCCTCCGTAAGCTGACTGTCAGTGAATGTGAGTGCTGCTGGGTATCCTACTACTCCGACATTCTTAGAAATTACAAAATTCGCCGGGTGCAGTGGCTCACACCTGTAATCCAACACTTTGGGAGGCCAAGGCAGGTAGATCACCTGAGGTCAGGAGTTTGAGACGAGACTGACTAACATGGTGAAACCCCATCTCTACTAAAAACACAAAAATTAGCCAGGCATGGTGGCGTGCACCTATAATCCCAGCTTCTAGGGAGGCTGAGGCAAGAGAATCGCCTGAACCTGGGAGGCGGAGGTTACAGTGAGCTGACATCGCACCATTGCACTCTAGCCTGGGCAACGGAGCGAAGACTTCGTCTCAAAAAAAAAAAAAGAAAGAAAGAAAAAGAAATTACATTATTTTCTCTAGACATAATAGGTATCATTTATTGAGGGTATATTGTATGCCAAGTAATGTGCAAAATGCTTTACATTTAGTCTTCATCGTAAACCTGAGAGGTGAATACAGTTTATATGCTCCTATTCCATATGAGGCAATTTGAGGCTCAGGAAGTCTAATGCACTCCCAGTAGCCACAGTTAGTAAGTGACTAAGTGGCTGATAGGAGCCACTACACAGTATTTCCCCAAAGTCTGGACCACCTAAAGCAGAATCAGCTGGGAGCCTTGTGCAAATGAAAATCCCTGCCTCCACCCTGGTCTTACTGAACACCATGGCAGGCACCATGCCTAGAAATTTGCTTTTAAACAAGCTCCCTGGGTGACTTTTACACACTCTCAAGTTTGAGAATCACTGCTCTCCTTTATGCAGAAACTAAGAAAAACTTTTCCAGTCACACTTGGGGATTGCAGTGGCAGCTTTCGAACTCCTATTTAAGAAAGATTTAAGGCCTACAAACGAGTGGGATTATGGGATTTGCATGGAAGCCGAATCTGCATAGCACGCATCCTGTTTTTCCTTAGATTAGGTGAAGTCTGGACTTCACCGGGGTACCTGGGGGACCGGGCTAGCAGATGGAGATTATGAGGGGGATCTAAGCCCCGGGTAACCCGCTCGGGCTGCCACCACCAGCTGGACGGCTTGGGAGACCCCCTCCAAGTTTGGCCCACTACAGCAAACATCAGGGACTACTTGCGGGAAGCAGCTGGGCCTGTCCTTGGGATGTACAGGCGGCCGCCTCCGCCCTTGCCGGAGAAAGATCCCAGGATCCCAGGATCCCAGGCGAGAAGTGGCGGCATCCGGCCGCGGCGGAGCGGGCGCGTGAAGGTTTTCCTCTGAACGAGAGGTCAGCAGAGCCTCGGTCCCCCAGACCCACAGCACCAGGACGGCGGGCTGAGGGTGGCCCGGCTGCATCCGGGGATGCGCTTACCTGCTGCTCCGGCGCGGACACTTGCGCTCACCCGGTAGGACCGCCACCTCTGCAGCCGTCACCCGGGCAACCGCCGCCGCCGCCAGCCTGGCGTCACGTGAGGCGGTGCAGCCAATCGCTTGGAGCGCGGCCGGCGCGGAGCAGCCTGGGAGGGAAGGCGGGAGACCCCGAAACTTCCTGGCGGCGGAAGTGAGGGTCCACAACCCAGTGCGGGTGGCGTGCGTGGACCGTGCGCGCCTTATGCGGTCCCCTCCACCATTTTCGTTCGTTCGTTCATTCATTTGTTCATTTTCCCTTCGTTGCGCCAGGCGCTGTGCGGGCTCTGGGGATGAGCCGGAGCATGCTCAACCCCTCGCCTCAAGGAGTTCGTGGTCCCGTAGAGAACACAGACTAGTATAGTGTGGTGTCCGTGGGAAAAGACTCAGGCTTGGTTATTCCCATCTGACAGGAGGGACCTGGGGCCACCTTAGAACCAAAAGTGACGCCCAAGATGTGCATTAAAGCTCCAGGCACCAGGGTCCTGCCCCAATGCAGCAGTTTCCAGGGATTTCGGAGAAATTGTGTTTTTCATGTGAAATGTGAGTTTTTAAAAATAAATCGGGAGCGCACGTCTTCCCTCTCTTTGCACCTGATGCTTTTCAACTGAAGTTCGTCAGCACTGAATGAGCACTTGCTAGTTGCCCAACTTTGTGCTGGAGGGTGAGGAGGTGGCCATGGATAGAAAATCCCTCCGCTCCAGGCTTTGAGGTTCGGTGGGAGTCTCCGTGGCCACCTCAGTGTTTCCACTTCCATGCTTCCAAGAGGGAGGAGGCTACCAAGGCCGGGGACAGGGATTGGAGCACAGAGAAAGTAGCTCAGCTCGCCTTTGAAGAAGCCCTAGGAGGGGCTGTGGCCACCACCTTCCCAGTCCCCAACCTTGCCAGTGGATTGTCTTCCAAAAGAAAAAACGCTGTGAAACCCCCATCTCTACTAAAGATTAAAAAATTGGCTGCAACCTCCACCTCCTGGGTTCAAACGATTCTCCTGCCTCAGCCTCCAGACTAGCTGGGATTATAGGCACGTGCCACCATGCCCAGCTAGTTTTTGTATTTTTAGTAGAGACGGGGTTTTACCATGTTGGCCAGGCTGGTCTCAAACTCCTGACCTCAGTGATCTGCCCACCTCAGCCTCCCAAAGTGCTAGGATTACAGGTGTGGGCCACCATGCCCGGCCTAATTATATATTTTTCTTATTATTTCACAATGTCATATCAACTAAAAGTGACCTCAACAATGGGGGTGGTGGTTCATTTTCTTATAAATAGAGAGGTGGCTAGCTTCTTAAGTCGTCTAGGACCTGGGTCAGTTTCTGAATTGTATCGTCCCTGTGACTAGGAGTGATATGGAACAAATAGATATGGTTTGATACAGTTTAAAAATAATTAAACTGCTATAATTACTTAGCTATAGTTGAAGACTTTCTTTGAATCCTGAACACTTGCATAATGCAAATATTAAGGTGGAAAAATTCTCCATCTGAGTCCGAAGCTTCATACAGCAGTCCCTAGGTTGGCTCTGCTGTGTATATTCCATGAGTTCAGAGCAATACACTGAACCAGCTGCCTCAACCTCCCCATTCTTAGTACCTGCCAAAGCATCCCGTTGCCCCAAGTTTTCCTGTTTGACCACTCTGGTTTTCCCAGAATGGGACACATAAGCCAGTGGGCCCAAGATGACTTTCTAAATTGTTTAATTATGTAAATTTCAAACATACGCAAAAGTAGAGGATAGTTTAGTGACTCGCCGCACACTCTTCACTCAGATTCTAGGATTATAAATACACTGCTGCTGGGAAAACTTGAACTCATATTAAATCCTCGGAATATGCAGAGCACTTCAGCCAACATCTTCAGCCTCGCATTGGACATTGAAGGGACTGGTGGAGCTCTGTGCTCCGGCGGGGGACACAGCTAATTCTGCAGCCTAGAGGCTTCTGTGGGCCCCAGCCCTGAGCACTTTAGGGGCAGGAGGTCACACTCCTCTGTGGCCTGCTACACACAGCTCATGAATGCATTCACCTTTGCTGCCGTAGCAGGCATCTTCCTGCCCACTGTCTTAAAAATTGCCGAGACTGGCCAGGTGTGGTGGCTCTCGCCTGTAATCCTAGCACTTTGGGAGGCTGAGGTGGGTGGATCACCTGAGGTCAGGAGTTCGAGACCAGTCTGACTAATGTAGTGAAACCCTGTCTCTACTAAAAATACAAAAAATTAGTCAGCTGTGGTGGCACGTGCCTGTAATCCCAGCTACTTGGGCGGCTGAGGTAGGAGAATTGCTTGAACCCGGGAGGCAGAGGTTGTGGTGAGTTGAGATTGCACCATTGCACTCCAGCTTGAGCAACAAAAGGGAAATTCCATCAGAAAGAAAGAAAGAGAGAGAGGGAGGGAGAAAGAGAGGGAGGGAAAGAAGGGAGGGAGGAAGGGAAAGAAGAGGGAGGGAGGAAAGGAAGGAAGGAAAGAAGAGAAAGAAAAGAAAGGAAGGAGGGAGGGAAGGAAAGAGAAGAGAGAGAAAGAAGGGAAAGAAAAAGAAAGAAGAAGAAAGAAGTAAGAAAGAAAATGAGACACCGGGTACAGTGGCTCAAGCCTGTAATCCCAGCACTTTGGGAGGCCGAGGCGGGTGGATCACCAGGTCAAGAGATCGAGACCATCCTGGCCGACATGGTGAAACCCCGTCTCTACTAAAAATTAACTGGGTGTGGTGGCATGCGCCTCTAGTCCCAGCTACTCGGGAGGCTGAGGCAGGAAAATTGCTTGAAGCCGGGAGGCGGAGGTTGCAGTGAGCTGAGATTGTGCCACTGCACTCCAGCCTGGCGCCTGGTGCTTGGCAACAGAGCAGGGCTCTGTCTCAAAAAAAAAAAAAAAAAAGCAAAGAGAGAGAGCTGGTAAATGTTGCTTTCTTGAGTTGCATGAAAAGGTGAAGCCACATAAATTAAGCACAGTGACCCACCCAGGCCGACCCACCCAGGCCGACCAGCGGCCAGCTAGACTAAACACAGTTGCCTCATCCGGGAACTCCTGCAGGGGGAGTTCAGACCAAGGGCATGTTTCTGAGCAAGCCCAGCGCCTGGATCTAATCAGTGGGTTAGAGGAGGAATGGTCTGAAATGGCTGGCATAAATCAAGACGCTGCTTAAGTGAACAACATTTCCTTCCAGAAAAGTTGGATTGTGGTCGCTGCTCAGAACTCATGATGTGCGGGGGATGACTCACTCATGATGTGTGGGAGATTCAGGTCCATCCGTCTTCCCAGCCCAGAGTCCATGTAGAGGTGGAGGAACGCTTGTCTCCCAAAGGCTGCTTCTCCTCCCACACCCCTTCCCAAAGCTATTTATATCTGGAAGTTGAAGATTTCTTGAAGTGAGAGCACACCGGGTGGGAATATTCATCTCCCAAAAGAGCTCTCCATGGGCGGTAAAGCAGGCGACCCCTGAAAGTCGCTGAACAGCCACCGTGGCCTCCGGTGTGTGTCCTTCCTCCCCTGTCCCAAGGATGGGAGCCGCATCACTGCCCCAGTCATTCTGTGGCCTGGTTGAGGTTGGAAGAAACACTCAGGCCTCAAAATGAACATCTGGAGGAGCAAAACCTGGATTCCCAGGTGGTTTCCAAGCAAGCACTCTTCGAGAGATTGCTGGGCCTTTCATCAGTGGCACTCATAGACATAGAAACTTAAGACTTTTCATGAGGACTGTCATTCATTTCTAAGCAAGTTAAAAAATGCACTTCACAGGGCACAGGATATTAGCCCAGAGCGTGGCATGTTGGTTTAAGCTGGAGGAATAGATGCTAAAGTGACCACATTTGGGTAGTTTACTGGCAGGTCAACACACCTGAGGGACCAGCAAGATATGACACACAGAAAACATCTTTTTTTTTTTTTTTTGAGACAGAGTCTCCCTCTGTTGCCCAGGCTGAAGTGCAGTGGTGAAACCTCCGCCTCCCGGGTTTGAGTGATTCTCCTACCTCAGCCTCCTGAGTAACTGGGATTACAAGCGCATGTCACCACACCCAGCTAATTTTTGAATTTTTAGTAGAGACGCGGTTTCACCATGTTGGCCAGGCTGGTCTCGAACTCCTGACCTCAGGATCCACCCACCTCGGCCTCCCAGAGTGCTGAGATTACAGGCGTGAGCCACCGTGCCCGGCCAAAAGAACATCATTATTCACGTGGTCATCCTTCCCTTCGGAGGCAGAAAGGATTACTGCAAGCCACAAGCATTTCCTGGCCCCACTGTTGACTTAGTCTAAACACTAGGCCTTCCTGCCCCAAACAAACGTTGCAATACAATGATTGCTTCTGCAGTAAGACCCACATATGGTCGAGAGAGGGGGTGTGTATGAGATAAAGCGTTAACTTGCCTAACAAATTAAGATTAAGTTAATCTTAATAAAAAGAATTCATGCTACCAGAGGTTGCACACAGGAACCTTCGATCTCTACCCTTCTCCCCACCTATGATGAATGTCCCAGGACCTCTGCTGAACCCAAAGTCAAGGGTACCATGTAGAACTCCTTTCAGTAAAAGACAAGGTCTTTTACTGCTGACAAAAATTTGAAACTAAAAGAGAAACCATGGGCCTGTGGAGGAGTGAATTTGGCAGCCAACTCGGCGAGGCCAGACCCTGGCCGGTGCAGGCCGGGCAGCCTCCCCAGGGCTCTGCCCTGCCAGGGATAAATCTCTCAGCGGGAGCAGCTGGCTGAGCCGCCCGGGAAGGGGCGCAGACGCAGCCAGACCGGCCCCAGCCGGGGTGGGGGGCTGGTGCCCGGGCAGTTCCCAATCTGGGCCCGGGGCGGGGGTGGGGGTGGGGGTGGCTCCTCCGAGCCCTGGAGCCCCGTCCTGCAGCCTCCAGCCAAGAGAGATCCAGTGACGGCCGGTGGGGGGGGGTTCCCAGCAGCCTGACACTTGCTGGAGGGTGGGTCCCTGCGGTGATCTCCGGCGTGGGAAGGATTGGGGTTGGCTGCAGTGGGGGACTCAGGTAGAGTCTTGGGGAGCAGCCAGCACAGCCCGACCTGGCCCCAGGTGCACCCCACCTCCCCCAGATGGTCATTTCCAGGAACCCAGCTCCATCTCTGCCAGCCCAGTGGTCAGGAGGTGAGAGACATTCAGAAAGAACACGAGC